AACAAGTATTGAATCGGGCATTGCATGAATAACACATTTTATTGAATATCGCTACAAATAGGCAGCCATACTCGGCGAGAATTTGTTCGTTTTGATTTACAGTAAAAGCGCTATTAAGCCCCTCGGGGGCTTTTTTTTACTCCTAGAGAGGAGGTCTTAATAGAGAGAGGGGCTTATATCAAATTTTGGCATTGTAATAGGGCTTAATAGAGAGGGGGTTTTATAGAGTTTTTACGGCATGCCGATTAACAATGATTTACAGAGATTCGTGATCATTTGAGCTAAATTGACCTTCGCAGATTTATTATGACTCATGATGATTGTCGATCACTCACAATGATTCACGATCCCCAGTATCAGAACCAAACAACGTGTCGTTCGGCTGCAGCAAAAGGGTCCACCCAATTCATCAACCCTTCCTGGTGAATCTGTGCCAACTTCCCTTTTGGCACGGCCAAAATAAAAATTTGCAAAATTGACTTGCTGATGACGTTGAGTCAACAATTCGTAGCCGCGAGTAATAGAAAGCAGGACACTAATTAGAGGAAAATGGGAATTCTTCGCGTAGCATTCTGTTACGGAAACCGTGTCACTTCGTTAGTTAGTTACTTACTTACTTACTTACTTACTTACTTACTTACTTACTTACTTACTTACTTTCTCACTCACTCACTTACTTACTTACTTACTTACTTACTTACCTACTTATTTACTTACCTACACCTACTTACTTACTTACTTACTTACTTACTTACTTACTTACTTACCTACTTATTTACTTACCTACTTACTTACTTACTTACTTACTTACTTACTTACTTACTTACTTACTTACTTATTTACTTACTTACTTACTTACTTACTTACTTACTTACTTACTTACTTACTTACTTACTTACTTACTTACTTACTTACTTACTTACTTACTTACTTACTTACTTACTTACTTACTTACTTACTTACTTACTTACTTACTTACTTACTTACTTACTTACGATTTGATAATCTTGCTTCACTGCTGCGTCTGCTTCACCTTTGCGTCATGCTTGCTTAATAAATTTTGTAGTGTGAACGTCGTACGCAGCACTTACACTTTGAAATGAATACAGAGTCACGTGGTAAAATATCATTTGCATAAAACAAATATAATGTGTTGGAAGAAAAACTTGCAGAAGCTGCAAGAATATACCTTGTTTTTTCATGAAAGTCAGACAAGTTTTTTAGAGGGAACAGAAAAACTATATTTGAAAATGTGAGCTGCTTTCCCTGCGAGCTCAGTCAGTTGGTCAAACGTATGTTATATGAGTTCCAAAAAGCTCTGAAAAAGAGTGGTCTGAAAGCTAGAACTCTAGAAATAGGAATCTTAACAATAGAGTTACTCTTTAACTCAGTCAGAATAACCACAAAGAGGGTAGAAATTTACTGACATGATGCTACAGCTTTTTTGGTAAATCAATGGCTATTGAAGTACCGCGAATTTTGAAGTAGCATCTATTCCTGTTTATTGTTCTAATCCTAGATGGGAAATTAAGAAAAGGTAAGAAGTCTATTTTTGTACTCATTGCTAGGTATTATTTGGAATTTGACACAACTTTTCCATATCTTTATAATAAACATCGAACACAGTTTTGTGAAGTAAGCAATAAATGTTGCATTTATAGTTTTACAGCTGCCTTATTTTGTTAGTTTATGTAAAAAACCATAAGGGATCGTTGTTAAAATGAAATTTTGTAAATTCTGCTCTTTAATATGCCTTTTGACATAAGTTTAAGAAATAGAATGGTTCTGATTTTTACATGTGGTTTGCAACGCTAATTCAAGATACGTATTTAATTGCAGAGTTGTGCTAAAAAAGAAAACATCTTCCAGGTTCCTTATCATGATTTTCAATTCTGAAACTTATATTCTCTTAACTCTAGTCTCAAGCTCTCTACTCTAAGTTAAATCACACGTGCATATATACGTTCTACAACAAGTATAAAAATAGCGTAACCAATAGGAATTTGTGAAGCTTGAATATTGAGTCAGTTTCCTAACGACTCTTGAAACGAGGTTATTACGCGAATTATGCTTTAAGCCATGTGTGAAGAAAATACCTTGAGTCAAAAAGCTAAAGCCGAGCAGCTCAAACTATTGTTAACTACATCCATACTAAAACAATAATTGCTATGCGTGAAATTCAAAGATATTGTGGGCAGAGGGCGCGTGGGGTCTTCACCGACAAATGTTTCACCTGCTGCCTCTATTCACAGTCTAATAAGTGAACTTCTTTTGTCGAAGAAATGCGAACATCAACAATAGAAAATGTTTAGCCTATCAAAAACTTTAAAGCCCAATTAGCTTCTGAGTTCAAAAGTTTAGGAACAAACTGAATTTATGCTCTATCTCCTCTTTCTAATACAGAGCATATTACTATGAAAATTCACTTCGACACAACCTGCTCCATTTCATTCAGCAATCTTGTATTTTTTCCTACGACTAGATTATTAAAAGTTTGTAGCCTCTAGCATGCAATCTCTATCGAGCAAATTCGTTTTTAGACAGCCTTTAATTGCTGATTTCACGCAGCTTACAGTTAATAATTTATATCATAGATGTTTCTGCATCTGTCGGGCCATAAATGCTGCAGCATCTATTAAGTGACAAGAATTATCGGCAAAATTTAGGCCACTTATGATTGTCCAAGCAAGTAATCATATTACTTATGCTGTGCTTCTAGAAACTCCATCCTTCATTATTTGAACAATCACAGAAAGATAAAAAATGTTGCAGAAATTTCACGAACATTTTAAGGCAATCCATGGTTAGCAAAAATTCAAACAAATTGGATCAGAGGTGCAGTGACTTCAAAATTTTCAAACTTTATCGGAGTAAAAGAATTCGAGAGAGATAAAATTTGAGGAAAATTTAGTCATTGGGAAAATTTAGTCACTTCCCCCGAATGAATTCTCGAATTAGTCGTTCTTCCCTGTCTAAAACTTAAGCATGTAACAAACTTTACATTCTGGTTAACACAGGTGTTTTCTTTAAACATAACCAAAAAATAAAGAATGAAATGATTTAGTATTAAAGGTAATAAAAATCGGGTAAAGTATTAGTCATGAAATCAAAATTTGGGAAAAATGTAGACATACTTTCTTTTTTAAATAATACTTTCAATTTTTCCCAGCTCGATATTCTTAAGGAATACTTGTTTTGAGCCTGGATGTATTCTTAAAGTATTTTTATTCTTAAAAATCTGATATAGTTTCAGATAATAAAACAACGATTTTTGGAAAACTTGATGTGTCACTTTTGCGTATATTTTTATAAACATCGCTAAGCAAATATTAGAACTGAGGTTGAGCAATAAACTTAAAATGTCCTTAAAAATTGAATGATTCTGTGCCTGGATATTCTAATAAATAAAAAATTCTTATAAAAAGAGTGTAGTTACTCTTCTCCAATTCCCAGAAATAAGAGTTGGGGGAAATATTGAGTCTTTCTGTGGGTCCATGCGATCTGTGTTTTGCATGATTTGGTAGGGGTGGGGGCTGAAAAGGGAGATGATTTTCAAACTACACGAGTACTTGTCATGAGAAAAAGGGACGCAGTGGTTGTTAAATTTTTGGGAGCCTCAACTGAAATTTCCCCCTAAAAACACCGACAAAGTAGCAGCATTTCCATAATTTTTTAACATTATGTTTGGATAAATTTATGAATAAATTTAGATACAAAGTGCAAATCTTCAAACACAAGAAGCAATGATACGCTTTCTCCTTCCTTTTAAAATCCAAATAAAAGATTCAAACTTTTGCGAGATTTCTTGAAAATATGGCTGCAATTCAAAAACGATCGAAGCATTGATGACTCTTACTGCTTGCAATTTTATACCCTGGGTACCAGACTCACTCTATATAAAACAAGAGATTCTAGTACCTAGGGTAGCAGCTTTGAAACCCTTATCCCAGAATTTGTGCTGGAAGTCAAAAGTTGAAATGTTAAATGCTAAAAGGGCTAATTGACCAAAAATTAATAACATAGAAGATAAGAAACCCCCAAAAAGTAGTACATATTCATTACCAAAGATTTCAGAAACTCGAAATTCGAGAACTAAATATCTATACTTCTTTTTGAAGAAAACTGGCATATCCCTCTTCACAGGGACACCAGAGAAGGGGGCGCGGGGATCAACCACCCCTGTTACCTCTTGATAGGAGGGGCAAGATGGGCCAGAGTGCCTTTTTTATGATAGTGCCCTTAAAACCAGCCAATTGTAATAATCAGAGAGATTCTTATAAAATCCCCAATGTAATGCGTAATTAATGACGACATTTTTCAAATCCTTGTAAAGTAAACTCTTATGCTAAAAATTAACAATTTTCAAGATACCTACTGAAGATCGAAATGAAGTGACAGTTAGTAAAAGGAATTAGTAAAAGCTGGGAGGTATCTTTCAAATGCTCTTTTACTCAAGCCTGCCCCTCCCCCTTTTGCCGCTTGGTCGTTGCGGCGTCCCTGCCTCTTCACTCAAGCCTCTTTTCTGACCTGGCATGGTATAACATTTAGAAGGTGGTGATTGTTTTTTTTCTAGCTGCTGTGTTTAAAACAAGGTTTCAATGATAAAATGATGTTTTTTGATAAGGCCGACTTGAGTGGGATGTTTAATCTTTTCATTCATAACGCCAAAGAGGAAAGTTTATGATCTGTAGCAGGTGACTTCAATACACCCCACACAGGATTCGTGGTAAAATTCACTAGGAAGGCATTATCAGTTATGTTTTCATGAAGCTGTTTTCATGGCAACTTGAAGGTGGTTTTTTGAACCCTATCATATTAGCCCCCTTGCATAAGCACCCTCGCATAAACCCCATCGTATAAACCCCTAGTCGGCTTATTTGGGAGATTTATGTTATCATATAAAATTTTCAGAGTAGCTGCGATGGAGCAAATTAATCAAAAACTCTGATGTGTCCCCCTGGGAGTATCGAACTCTCACGGGTAGGAGCCCCCGTGCGCGAAACCAAGAACCCTTTTGTTGATGACACAAACGAGATCTCACAGTCTGGATACAGCCGTGGTTCAAAAAGTTTTTCCCTCATTACGAAAAGCTAACTGGATCTCCTAAAACCGACCGTAAAGTTGAAATTAATGTTTTAGGACACCAGATTGTACTTGTTTTCTTCTTCGCTGTTTGTCGCGAAGGCTCACGAAGTCACCGTGCATATGGCCTAGAGCAAGCTTGAATTTTGGCGTCGGAAAGGTGGTGCTGGTGAGTTCCTGTTTATTGAAGTGCATAGCGTGCATCTTTATTTAGATTAATTTTCCACGCAATTTTCATATTAGAGAAAGTTGATTTCAATTCCCTCATTGGATTTTTGTCGTTGTTTTTTAATAAAACGTGCATATTACACAAAACTTCAAGGGCGAATTGTTTGATTGGATTATGAATGTCTTTTAACGTAGTGTTCTCCGGTAATAGGGCGACCCATGCATGTCCTAAACTCAAGCGAAAAGTTAGAAATAGTAGATCTAGTCAAATAAACTAGTCAAATCAGTCTACAAGGCTAACGCCTAGCCAAATGCTTATCTGGAGATATATATTCCCTAAAATTGTAACTGTTTTTTCGACAAATTTTTTTGGTTGTTCTTCATGAATTGGGATAATAAAATACGTAAAGTACAGGTATTTATAACGGCTACGCATCTATTCATTCATTTGGACATTTTCTTCAATTCTTGAGAATTACAGATCAATATTTTGTTTGGTTTCGCCTAATAGATTTAACCTATTATTTTTCACGATTCATAGCCTGAAGTCTAATTCTGGGCCTAAGGCCTTTAGCTAATGTTACCAATTTTTGACATGCTGGAGATCAGCAAATAAATATAATAGAATTACCTCTTCCTTTTTTTACTACCCAAGAACTTAAAACAGTTTCTGTTTTATAAAAAACAAAGCTATAATTGAAGATTACTTTAAATTTTTTTTTGATTAAACGAATTGTAATTTTTTTGCCAATTTAGCTTTTTTTCAAAAACTTACTAACTTTCAAGTTTCATAAAAAATTTAAAGATACTGATTATATTTGTTTTCAAAATGCAATCTTTATCTTATATTAATACAATAAAGAAACTTTCAAGAATATTGGCCCTGCTGGTTATTGCAATAAAATTAAATGGAAAGTATAAATATGTCCCCAAGTTGATTTCACTTTTAGGCTTGTGTCATTTCATTGAATAAAATTCCCCTATCCAAACTCAATTTTTATGGACCTCATTATCTCAGACCTTTTCTGAAAGCTATGCCCTACATCTTTTTATGACCTATTTTGTTTTCAAAATTTATAGCCAGATTTTTTAAAATGATAAATAATTGATCTAGTTGCCTTGTGTAGAGTAACTTAGGTGCTATGTAGCTATGCTATTTTGAAACAAACATTCAAAACTGTGCAATTTCAGACCTCAATGCAAGTTATGCCAGAATTGTGGAGCCACTTGCCAAAACATTTCTCTTTATTGGCTCTTTTGGAAGCTGCCTATGTAATAGCCAATTAAACACTATATGCCTTCTCCAATTTTGGAAGATTGGTTTTGCTTTTTCTTAAATCTGGCTGGGTTCCTTATATCTGCATTGCATAACACAGAATGATTCAAAAGAAGTTTTGGATGCCTGTTATCTTAGGACTGCCAAATATTTTCCATCTTTTGTAATTATTGACATAATCTCAATAAGGCAGAATCATTATGTAGAATAAATATACTTTTGATGTCACATTTATTATAAATGTAAATATCAGTTGTTTTGTTGAAAGACTGCCTTCTGGAAAAATTTTTTTGGATCCAAGCAATCTTTGGGCACCACTCATTAAAAGCATTTTAATAAAACAATACTGACTGAAAAATAGAATGAACAAAGTTTTGCTTATGTTCTTTATTGATTTTGTTGCTTTTGAAAATATTACTTTTTTCTAATAGTGGATCTTAATGAAAAATAGTGATAAAAATTTGTTTATGTTCAGTTTTTGGATGTTGCTGTTTTTCATGGAAAGGGTGCACTTTGCTAAAAGACACATGCAGGGGGTAAGTCTCAGAATTTTATAGGTCACCCAAAAATATGACCTTTTTTCACTAAGACCCAAAAATGTAAGCTCTATGTTTACCCAAAACTATACAAAATTGCAAAATCTGTAAAAATAGTTCCACGCAGGTATATTTTGTTTGAAACTGTACTTTTAATTCAGATTGGATTTCCTGTCCTTAATTTGATACCTAGAAGCATCCAGATTGTGTCTGCTGTTTTTCAGGATCCAAAAAATTATTTTCTGGCAAAATGCTTCACCCAAAAGTATCATTTAAATTTATGTTTCTCAAAAAATATCAGACGGACCCCTGTTGTTTCTATGTGAGAAGTGCCCCTAGAATTCATTTGTTGTTTCTATGTAGGAAGTGCCCCAGGAATTCATTTGTTGTTTCTATGTAAGAAGTGCGGCTGGAATTCATTTGTTGTTTCTATGTGGGAAGTGCCCCCGGAATTCATTTGTTGTTTATAAATGGTATTTTACAATTTCCAAATTTCTGACAAGAATCCCTAAACTTGCTTTTAAGCACAGTGCGTGCCAAAGGCAATCACTTATCTCCTCCATTTTTTTATAGTAAACTAACATTGTTTGCAGAGGGTGGATAGCTGAATCTGCTCTTGAAAAAGTTTATCAGTATTCCAAATCTTTAGCCAGGAAGACTTTTGCAGGGAATGTAGCATAGAAAAATATGGAGAGATGATTTTAATGCCCCTCACAATTATAAATTATTAATGCAAGCAACCAGGCATAGTTGATTGGTTACTAAATTCTTTTGCAACTTTGCAACAGCTGTAAGATCAGAGTGCTAAAGCGTACACCTGAATGATTATCATGTACAGGATCAATTATACATTATATCAATCTGCTAATGCTGCCTCTGAACAAAGAAAGTTTACAATAGATTAAGGTCTTTGGTTGATAAGCAAGAGCCTGACCACATGATTTTATTGGCTGATTTATTTTTTTGCATATGTTTCTTCAAAAGCTATGCTTAAAATAAAGTGTCCTGTTGCTTCTTCTCCATGTGGCCACACCGCAAGATTGCTAGGCCTTGAATTGCTGAGAGCTTATGACTCCCTTCACTTTAGGTGAAAGTTTGATCATGTCCACTATTCGATCCCAGACCCTCGGATCTGTATTCCATGAAGGTGATTTATACAGACGCCCTTCAAACTACTGGAATAGTTTTGTTTTGACATTCCGTGCATCATTATTGTATAGTATTTATCAAACTACAGAACATTCTATTTATGAACCACATGTGTTTTAGTCCTATTTAAAGCACAGCTAAGTGGCAGCACAGTAATTGATAACAAATGAATGAGCCGTTCGTTAGGCTGAAATCTATCAAACAATCGTTACAACCTCAAAGCTTATGCAATAATGAGTTGTTACTCCTAATATTGAAAATTACATTGAAAAAATCTACAAAATATTGATTTTTCAATACATTGAAATATTCATGTGTAGTTTGATGTACTTTGAGACCATTTTCGGCTGTAATGGGAACTTTCTTATTATTCGTTTCAGGACTGACGATCCCCTTTATCCTCTATATCTAGGGTACTTACTAATTACAATACAGAATGATTAACCTTCTGTGACAATGCCCGTTTGCATACCCATTTGTCTCATTAGTTGTTGCATTACTTGTCAGGCCTCATAACGGCATCGAATTTATAGCACATTACCGGTTCCTAATAAACGAAACGAAACATTACCGGTACCTTTTCATAAAACAAAAGCGAATAGTTAGTCATATTGTTGCAGAAGCTAAAAGATACTTATTAGAATTAAATTGCCATTGATGATGTTGTTGAAATAACTATTCGTGATGTTTTTAATCATTTTTTCTGGTACTTAAGCAGAACGTTAATTGATCCTCATTAATTTCCAAAGTTGCATTCATTATGTGGTTAATCAATGTAGAAAACTTCTCTGCATTGTTGCTAGGCTATGTTCGTACAATAATGTCTACTATGAACAATTAGTTTCCCAATGTATTTCGGGGTAACAAAAACCTGTAATCCGTGGCGAAATGTTAATTTTATTCTTTCTAAATATTTTTGTTCTGTGAGTTCTCTATTTATCTTGTATCATTTCTCTTCAATTTTTTGCGCTGTTTCCCCTTCTTGTTTATCGTTTTTTTGTCGTCGCTGTATTTTTATTGCAAGAAAAAAGGGCCTAAATCCAGCTTAGAATAAGATCTGTGCAGCCATAATTCTATCAAAACAGCCATTGTCATCACCAAACTGACATGATATCAGTGGCGGATTTAAGGGGGGATACTAGGGGCAGTTGCCCCTCCCTTGACGAGTTGAAGCAAGTCTGGCGCCCCTTTTTTGGAAATTGTGCGCTCCTTTTGAAGAATGAGAATCAGGTGAAAAAGTTTCTGAGACCGATAGCTTAATTTGCTTCAAGGATTACATCAGAGTTAATTTTTTTATTCTGAAAATGAATTTGAAATTGTTGTATACAGCGTACTCTCGTCACCAATTTTTGAAAATTTTTCAGCGCCCCCACTACCAACTGCCCCTCCTTCAAGTTTGCTCTGGATCCGCCCCTGCATGATATGCTTTAGTATTAGCCAATAAATAAAGGTTTGGGAAACACCTAAAGGATTGGTAGTGGATATTCATATGGTGTTTGTTGTCAATCGATTTGCAATCGATTTCCTACCTAGCAATGTCTTCGCGTGCTTCCTTTTACAGTGGTAGTGACATGAACCAATGTAAAATCTCAAAATAGTTTTGAAAAAGTCAAATGTTTGCTTCTTCAAAGCCATGGTTAAACATTTATATCGCTAATGATTAACTTAAAATCCGATTCTTACCAAGGCTTCATCCTCAGAGTCCAGCTATTCCCGCAAACACACAATCTTTGGGGTTCACAACTCAATCCCTGTGACCTCAAGAAGGTTGGGATCTGTAGTTCTGTTTTGTCATCACCGAGGGCATTAAGTAATAGATGGAAAATTGGAGTTGAAGGCAAAAGCTCATCTTGATGTCGACCTGGATGAGATGTTGTCGCGAGACTTGCTTGGTTTCAGTCATTTTAAGCGAATGAAATAAAAATATCTTTGTTGGTTGAAGGTGTTTTTGTTGGTTGGTTACAAACAAACTTCTGAAGGCAAGAAACTGCGGTATTTATTTGGCTTTCGTCTTATGACGTTTTAAGAATCATAACTTGTTTCACCTTCCATTGTTAGACATTCATAAAATTATTTCTCTCTCATAGTAAATCTCAAGTAAACAAAAGGATTAAAGATAATTTTTTCTAGAATAAAGGGAGCCTTCTAATGATGAGGTTGTATACGAGTACTAGAAAAGTACTCTTTCTAAATAACCATATGTGACAATAGCATTGACATATAATTTATGTACTGACAATAGTATTGTCAGGGACGTTGTAACCGGGGAACCAGAGACGCGTGACTCCTTGCTTTTTAAAAATTTCCCCTTTTATAAGAACTGCCAGCTTTGGAACTTTTGCAAGTTCCTTATCCTACCTGTGCCCCGCAGAAAGTTTCTGATACCAAGCTTGCTACTTTCTCTAAAAGCTTAGTTTTTTGTGTTATTTGTTTCTCTGAAGAATTTCCCAGAATGTTTCTTTCTGTTATACTTGATTTTACTTGGCAAGTATCAAAGTACAAGGCCGATTTTGTTGCCTTTGCGCAGGAAGGATGGGGTTATTTGCAAAATTCATTACAGAAGAAAGAACTGGGAGATATCAGCCAGAAACTCATACCTTGTCTGCTTCTGCTGTTTTTCTTCGCAGACGGGGAAGGGACTTTCCGTTTATCCCAGAAATATGCCTTGGCCTAGCGCAGATTGAACGAACCCCCTTTAATGTTTTAATGTCATCTTGCTCAGCGCACGAAAGCCAAGAACATAACAATGTTTACAAAAGGCTTGATCTAAATTATCATAATCATAACCACATAAAAAAGATCATTTGTCTTTCGGAAGATGGAGATTTCAGGCTTTTGGATTTTGTTTACGACAGTTACTCGAAATCTGTTGTGAAACCCAGGCCCTAATGTTTTTCTTTAAATTTCCAAGAAAGACTATACTGACCTAACAGTGTGTAATTGACGTCACACCAAAACACATTTTTTGAAGGCAATATAAAGTTATGGTTTATTAAATCAAGGTTACTTCTTCAAATGGACTTTTCTGGTTGCAATATAGATATGTATCATGTTGCGAAACGTATTAGGAAAAAAACGACAAAAATTGGGGATGAGTGGCCGACTGTATTTCAAAGCTTGCCCCATTTCTCGACAAAAGGGGCTACGGCCTACCCCCAGCCCCCGCGCCTTTTACACTTACGCGGACAGTGATAAGGTAACTAGACAACGAAGCTCATCTAAGCTCTTGGCCTTAATTCTGTCGGTTTGCTTTGTGTAGTCGCGGAATGTTAATCAAAGATACTGTTTCATTCCTAACAGCGATGACAGTTCATGAGTTGACCTGCTATCGTTATTTTTTCAGATCAGCAATCAATAATCTACAAAGCGTGGCTCATCATCATAAGAAAACACATGTTGCACTCTGAAATCTCCATTGTGTTAATGAAAGGCGGATGAGGATTCACGAGCCAAAATTAGTTTCCACTGCAATCTAATCCACAAGGAACCACAAAAATGGGTGTTATGCGGGTTACTGGCCCGTTGAAACCGCAAGATTCGCGATGTGTCGTTTATTTGGCAGACGGCCTTTTGAAAGGAAAATACAAGAAAAACGCAGGCGGTTGTGGTGATAATTCCCACGAAAAGGACGTGAATTCGGACGATTTGGCTGAGGAAAACGAAGACAATTTGAAACAAGCTGCAGATTTTACAAGAGAGTGGACAGGTTCTTTGGAAGCTGGTGTATTTAGTCCAGTAGATATAGAAGAAAGCAAAGAAGATAATATTTCATCTGGATTTGATACGAATGCGCTTGTTTACGAGGAAGGAAACCGTTCTGGCTTTGGTGAGACAGCGAACAAAATCGAAGAGAGTCTTGCAAATCGAGTTAATAATATTTTGAGCTCATGTCGGACTACAGGAGGAATAAACAGCGAGCGATCTGCGATAGGTTTTGAAGACCTTCAGAGAATCGAAGGAATCACAACTGATATCGAGGAGGAAATTACTCGCAGCTATAAGCAGAAATCTCGAATTAACTATATAGGTTTACAGTGTGAGAAAATGAAGAGAACAACTAGGAGAAGAGTACCAGAAATGAAAGTTCAAACTTGTGGCCGGGGAAGGCCTCGTAAGAAATCAAATGGGAAGAGAGGTGGCAGCGCCTGTGATAAACAGTCACAGGATGGGGGTGATGGGGGCGATGGCAGATCTAACCGGGGTAGACAACAGAGAGGTGGTGGCCAAGGAAATGGTTGTGGAGGGGGGAGAAGGCGAAGGGACGACGATGATAGAGATGATGATAATGATGACGTAGAGGATGACTTTGATGATAACAATGAAGATGACGAGGAAGAAGAAGATGAACAAACAGGAACGGAATCTGTAGCCGATGAAACGGAGTTAAGTCCGGAGCAAGAAGCAGAAATGGCCCAGGTGTGCTTTAGTATTTGTTTGAAAATGCTAGCATATTTCGTGCGTAAAAATCTTAGTATAAACGATGAATGGTAAGGTTTTTTTTAATTTCATTTTTATTTTTTTATATGGAAGACTTTTAATACACGATTTCATGTTCAACTACACAAATTGAGTGTCGTGTCATTACATGCTATTTTATGTCAACGTGAAAAAGGACTACCAACTGATCTCTTGTACCCTGCCTTTCTCCTATACCCTGCCTGTTTACAGTATTTGTACAATGAAATGTTAATGCTGACATTTCTCATACCCTGTATCATTTTGAAACGTTCCCAGATATTGTTATATTTATTTTATATATTTATGAAAACATTTGTCATTGTGATGTCAAAAACTCTGTTATAAGCTTCAGCTGTTACCAGATCGAAGAAAACATGGCGGCCACACATGCAAAACCCCAACCCCGTTTGTTTTCTAGAAGTGTTTGTCTATAGGAGCTTGATGATATTATCTAGGGGACGGATAGACTCTTTCTGCACACTGCAGTACAACATACTACACTCTTTTTTATACGAACCAGTAAATTTAAGTTCAGGCTGACTGTTCTTAATTTATTCGAAAATCTGAGGCTGGATTGTTCTTAATTTGTTCTTAGATGAATAGGGTGTAAGCAGTGCGATTGCTAGCTTTTTCGCGCTAGGGAGGTCAATTCCCAACAAAGTGAGTGAGACACCCTTCAATTGCCGCCAAGTGTGAATATTCACCGAAAAAACACCCACACATGGCTAAAAATCTTCGTTTTTGAGACAAAACGTTGTTCAAAATTGCATTTTACAGGAGCTCAGCCTCAGCTTGTTCTTAATTTGTTCTAACTTTCGACCCATTTTGAGGCTCGTGTTAGCTATAAGATTATTCTTATAGAAAAAGATTTAATTGAAAATTATAAAACTCAATTAAATTCATGCTAATGTTTAATGTTTTGTGGCTATCCAGCACCCGTTCATCCTCTTCCACACTTTTTCGCACTTCTCTGCTTTTGCACAAAATCGAGAAAAAAATAATCGTTTGTTTCTTCTCCCTTTCCACAAAACGAAGACAAAAATATATATTTTTGTGATTTTAATCGTTCACATGCTTCTTTGATGTGAACTTGTTTATATTAAATAGAAAACGTTTTCGAAGAACTATGTCTTTATGCGTTCACATTGATACGCCTCTTTTTAAATAACCTCAGTTTTTGTATATCCAACTTTGGAGAGCGTTTCAAGACCTCCTCTATTGCCTATTTTGTTCGGATCACAATGTTTGCCTGCACAAATTGTTTTACAAGAACAGTGCAGAGCGAACAGGCCGTGAAAATTCTGTTTTTAAGTATTACTAATTTTCGTATTGGAGATACAGCTGGTTTGAGGAGTAAGTCAAAATTGAAGCATTTGATAAAATCAACCTCTGCTTGACAACATTAGCAATCTTAACATCCACCAAATCGACCTTGACCCAGCTACCAGCTCAATCTATCACAGTATCTCTAAAATATTTAATTCTTGCGAAATTAAAACACGAAGCTGACGTTGTTTGATAGAATTTGTCCATATTTGTTCAAAACTTTGAGTTCAAACTTGAATTCAAACCTCGTTTAAGTTTAATTAGGTCTAGTTTAGTTTAAGTTAATAATAAGATCTCTCTTTTTCAGGAGCTGCTTTCCCTCATCCCACCAAAGAATATGAATTGTGACCCCCCTGAAAAACCTGCCAAGCCAGGCACGGCTGTAAATATCCATGGCGTTGTGCTGCATGAAACAACCGGGGGTAAGTCTGGGTTACCTCTTATGTACACACATTTTTCTATTAGAAACGACGCCGAGGAAAAGCACTCAGTTTCTTTATTATTATTGTATTATTACTTTAAGTTTGTTTAAATGTTTCTTCGATGCCAGATCCTAAATAGCTACGTTTTAGAAACTCGTATAAAGAACACCTAAAAAGCCACAAGAAGTTCTTCTCTCTATTTATCTATGTTTATTTCAACAAGAAATAGGTTTTTAATCATCAAATATTCTCATTTGCACCCTATCTTCATAAGAATCAGTTTCGAGCAGTTTCCTCAGATCAAGGGTGATCAGTTAAGGGTGATCAGTGCTAAAGTTTCTTTTTTTGTCATCCTATGTAAACAGTTTCAAATAAATGGACATGTACCCGGAAAGGACACCTTAAGTAGTTGTATTTCTGCTTAACGCTTTGGACTACTTCATCATGTGTACGTTGTAAATTAAAGCAGAGTGTATGCGGTTCTACTAACGCTAGTTTTTCATCTTTCTGCACTCTCTGGCTTGGGACAAGAGAGACTAGATCTTTTACAATTGGATAGAGGGGCTCGATTTTAAGTTGTCGGCAGTTTTCCTAGTTTTCAGGATGCAGTTTTGGTATTTTTTATTAAAAGCTCCACTTAAAGATCACAGTTTATAGTTCAGTTCTCTTAGCAAATTTATGATTCTGAAACTGTATTCAAAGCCACTATTTTAATCGATTGTGATCAGGATTGGCCCAAAGCAGTCACTTTACCTGCACATTCATCCGTTAGAATAGGATTAACACCCAGAAAGAAAATCTGGCGCCCAATCAAATCAAATTTCATCTCGAAAGTCAAGAAAAATTATTTGGATTATAACTGGAATTTTTCTTGTCTTTTATTTATAATCCTAGCAGCAGAATCTGTTTTTGTAGTAAGCCATTATTATGTTTAAGAAATCTTTTTGACCCATGTTTAATTCAGGCATTAATATTTCCCTAAATTCTTAAAAAGCATCCACCGTTGACAAAAAGATATTGTTATAAGACACATTATGTCCTGTTTAGTGTTTGACCACCAAAGTCGCTGTCGCCCATGTCAAGGAAATTTCTTGTGATCAACTTGAATATCATTTCCAAATTGAAAAATCTCTTTTAAATTCTTCATCACTATATAAGCACCACCTTAATGCCATGTTTCTTAATACTGCTTCCTAATTAATCATTAATTTTGCGGAGACCATGCTGCTGAGACCATTTCCTTAGCAATCAAAGTCGAATAGTATAATTTTGTGTCCCCACAAAACCTATTCCGTAATTATTCTGTTAAACGCGAACCTCAATAATATTTTGCCCTCCAAAAGGCTGCGCCCACGAAAATGCGCTGTCCGTTTTATAAAGTTTGAAATATTGAAATGCAATAAATGAAATGAAATAAATTGAATGAATTAAATTGAATAAATTATAGAAATTAGATAAATTAAATGAATTAATAAAATTGAATTAAAGATGCAGCATGAAATCAAATGTGACGCCCATTTCCAAAAAACTTTGCTAATCTAGGAATGCTCGGATTTAGAGATCGAGAAAGAGTTATAAATCTCCATTTAATGAACTCTGGTTTTTAATCAACGTCAAATGTCAGTTAACCTAGAGGTATGTCACAGGGTGAGATTTTTGCTTAGGTTAATTAGGACAACATTTTTCAAATCGCACAGAACAGCTTTATGGGATTTATCTGTTTCGGAGATTGGCCTTAATTTCAAATTTGTCACCCTCTTAGCTAAAGAATAATTCTACTGCTTCAACTCACTACTAAATGTCATTTTCTGATAATCTTGTGTCCAATACTTGCTGTGGTCCACTACTCGAACGGTGACATTAAAGATATGGACACCATGTTGCTTGGATGACGTAGTTCCTGGTTCTTATCTTCTTCTGAAATTTGCTTTCTTTCCCAGATCGTATTTATATGGTCAACTTGGCACGGGCATCTAAGAAAATTCAAATTTCGTATGATTCTGAGATTGCGTTGTTCCAGGAAACCATATTTATGCATGCTAAAAATTTTTACTCAGATTATCCTTTTGGATATACTAATAATTCAGTGTTTTGATGAAATAAGAAATCTTTTTCACCATCAAATAACAGAGCTTTTGAGCTTCTACCTCGTCCCTATTCAGTACTTCAACTGTAATGTAAACATGGGGATTGTTATCAGCTAAAACCTCAATAATCTCTATCAAGACTGCTGCAATTAACTTTATTAAACAAAACTTGGTTTTCCGCAACGGGTATTTTTCTTTCTATCGTGATCTATTTTCAAGCTTTTGATCTATGTTATTAGTCGTCTTGGAAACAAACACATTACATCATAACCTTGTTTCAATTAGATTATAAATCATTTTATCGACTTGGCAAACCTAATCATTATTTCGCATTGACCACAATCTTAAGTAGTCTGTTCGTGGTCACCTCTTTTACCTTCACATATTAGGAGAGTGACAAAAAGAATACCTCAGGCTTGTCTTGAATTGAATTGACGCGCTTCTACTTCAGTTCTGCTTGACACACGTGGATTTTATTGGTCGTCAAGTTCTTTATTTATCTATTTATTCGTCTATTTATTTATTCATTTGTTTATTTACATGTAGAGACAACATTTCTTCAGTTTCCTCTAACCGAATTTTGATAGAATTTTATTAGTAATAAAATGATAAATTAATTTATAGCTTAAATGAAGTAACTGACCGATTCTCTGGAAGATTTTGGTTTTTTGTTTAGTCGATGCCAGCCAAATAGGTGTTCTTTCACTTTTCTTTTGAATAAAGAAAAAGGATTTTTTCTTATGTTATGGTAGGACACTGTCCCACGTTTTCACAGCTGAGTAGCTGAAACTTCTTTTGGCATACTCAAGTATCATCCTGGGTAACTTTTAATTATTTTCTATGCAGGTAGGGTCGTTTGATAACTTAGACCTGGTTTTAGATCTATCCATAATTGTCTCGGAGCAGAAATGAGCAGAATATCCATAACTGAATTATTTTATATGCCATAACTAGCATATCATAGTCAATTGCATTTTTTATCGTTGCGCTATTGATAAATGTCAGGTTTTATTTGTACTGTCCACTTTTCATGCCATCTTCTAAATTTGCAGCCTCATTTTTACCTCAGACCTACCTGCATAGAAGAAACATAGTTAAAACCGTACTCACTTTTTCTCGAAATTAATGAAACAGCAAGCTTGATTTTGAGAAAGATACAAGATTAAGCAGCAATCGAAAATTTCAACATTGCAAGAAGTACTTTCCGTAGGGGTTAAAATAGGCCTTAAGACAATAAAGAACATAACGATCGATTTCATCTACATAAAAATTGTATTGTGTTGTGTTGTATTGTATTGTATTGTATTGTATTGTATTTTATTGTATTTTATTGTATTTTATTGTATTTTATTGTATTTTATTGTATTTTATTGTATTTTATTGTATTGTAGATTATTTAACGTTAGTTTTTACAATAGTGAATATAAACTAATTAAGACTAACATGAAGCAATTTCAAGGATAGCATAAGAAAGAAAGATTGTAAGGATAGTGAGTCTTCTTAGTAAATCCGCAAAATGCTACCCTGAAGAAAACTGATGTTCTTGATGATTATTATGATCATGAAAATGTCTTGACAATGGTGATTGGCTTCGTTAATTATGGTCATAATGACCAAGAGTATAAGGATCGTTTTGTTGATTGCAATGATGATCAGAGTTCGTTACTCCAATATTTGACAATTCTTGGTTGAATCACTTATCTATAATAAAGACTGGATTGAGTTTTCTATTGTCTTGAAACACCAAAGTTTGAAGCCCACTCAATTTCAAAAGGAGGAGGTTCCAGAAAAAAGCTGGAAGCCATCCCTCAAAACCAATATTTGTATTATATGGATATGCGAGAGCTGCAATGCTATGTGTATAAGTACTGACTAGGGGAAGAAGGCCAAAGCAGCTGAAACATTGCTGAAAGTGACAGTGGGACCCTCTCTACGGATTGCGACTCTCTGGTCAAAATAGAAGCTCGATCCAGTCTTTTTTATAGATCAGGGGTTTTAATGTATAACGAGACAATGTATCCTTCAAGTAGTTGAAGTGATTTTCTGGTTCTGAGACCTTGTCTGCAATTTTAGGGCTGGTGGTATTAAATGTCAGATGGCGAAACAAGATATATTCTGGTGCGCTGATTGACGTCAGAAAGAGCAGATGGGCGTCTGAAAGGTATGAATATCGAAATATTTCTCTCCACTTGCACTTTGCCTGTACTTTGTGTAATTAGAGGCTAGCTGATTTGCAGATGGTCCATTGTGGCATGACGCTTTTTCGCAATCTGTTAGATTGCCAGAAGATTATCGAATCTAATATACTGTTTCAATTGAGCTGGTCATTTCTTGGAAAAGGCTCGTATCTTGCCTGCTGAAATAACTGCAGTTAAAACCCTGGTCAACGGCTGCTGTGCAGCGTTTCTGGTGGGGTCGTGGTAAATCCATCAGGCAAATCTGCACTGATGCCTGTAAGAACCAGAGAGAGGGAAGATCAGTACATTATATTGCCGAAATCAATAAATCGTATAGCTTGATATATAGAAACCATAATATAAATGTTGGGGTACCATAATATAAAGAAACCATTGTTGGGGTACCATAATATAAATTTATGGTACCGTATACCAACAGTACACGGGAAATGCTTGTTGGAGACAGCATGATGAGAAAGGGAAACCAGTTATATTGCTATGTTTGGCCTTCCCAGTGTATCCGTGAGGTATTACATTGCTGCTGTGTGAACAGGAGGCGAGCCTCGAAATCATATGTCGACTCTTACTACTCATTAGTAATATGCAGTGGCCTTTGCGCTTTGACTTGAAGAGCCAATGGACTCTAATGAGATTGATAATGGTTTAGAAGATGTCGTTTTTGAAGAACCACAAGCAACCGCAAATTGTCGTAATAGATAGCCAGCTGTAATCTGTGCAATATTTCTCAGTTAACCGAAAGCGGCAAATCCAGTGCGTCTCGTTGCGTTTTTCTGCTCTAAAGTTATTAAAAGTTATCAGTTGAAGAACTGTTCCCTTCTAGGGCTTTATCTGATTTAAGAGCGTATATCTGCAGTGTTACCCCTAATAAGATTTGGGAAGATTTCGTAGACATGAAAGTAATCGCTGATTAGGATTCAACTACCACCTGGCTCTCCACACTGCTGTTTCGGCTTTGTTACGGTAGTTGTGAGTCGGGGTCTTTACTAGCTACGGCTCGGAATAATCATTTTCTCAGTTTATATTGTTCGGGAGATGAACCATACCCCTCTTCCAGACATGCACTAGCCCCTGTTTCAGGGTCATTGCACATGCCCATTATCACTTGAAGGCCTGACGGGAAGTTCAAGAGTTGTGTGGTCACAGACAGAACAGCTGTTCGAATACTGTTATTAATGCGCATGTGCAATGATCCTGCAACACTGATTGGTTTAAGACGGTACTGTTTCAAAACAAACATTAAATGACAACAAACATTTGTTTTGCTGTCATTAAGCAACTATTACCTTCAGAATATAACCTCTGATTTGCAGTTTCTTTGTATCAATCTGTATTGTTTGAGTTTCAACGTTGTATTTTATCAATTGTCATGGGACGTTTGACTAACTCTTTTGGTACGTTTTCAGCCAATCCTATCCCTTTTTCTGTAAACATTGTACTATGATGTATATAATGAAACTATATCCCGATGAATGACGGTGGTCACCTAAAATCTCATTGGTTGCAGTATACAATTGATAATGTTGCATTTTCCAAACAGCAATGCGGCATTAGCGTGAACAGTTGATTACAGGGATATAGTATCTTTTAGGATTTACATTCTAATTTTGTTTCGATTTATGTAGAAGTTTATAGCCGGAATGAAATTTACTTGATTTCTGCAGGATAAAGCCGGACCCCTTTCCCGAAGGTGCAAATCCAAAACCGGCCGACCTCATCAAAATGAACGGTAAGCGTAAGGGCAAGAAGTCAAGATCGCCGGAATTAGCCGAAAAAGAAGGCAAAGAAGGCGTAGACCTGAATGGTGAACAGACATTCAAGGAGCCAACTGGCGTTCCACTTGCCTTTAAAAGACCTTCAGATGGGACGGAAAATTCCGACACTGGTGTTAAGAAGAAAGCACGCCTCTCTCCACCGATGATTGAGTGCCCGGAACCGAATTGTGGAAAGAAATATAGTCATAAAAATGGTCTCAAATACCACCAAGCGCATGCCCACCAGAATAAGTCGGAATCAGAGGACATCAAGCCAGCGGTAAGTTGCATTTCTATTTTGCAATTCGGGTTCACATTAGTTGAGTATCCCCCGGCTCAAAATACAAAGCCATATAGTTAATTTTGCATTTAATGAGTTAGGGAAAAAAGATGGCGTGAAACTACTGATTAATAGTGTAGATGCAACGGGAAAGAGTAAAATTGCGGGATATTAAAGAGAGAAAAAAAACGAGAAAGGGAAGACGAATTACTTGCATGGGAAAGGAATTGTATCAAGGAGATGAGTAGAAAATCAAATGGAAGGGACAATAAAAGGGACACGAAAAGAAAATTACAAAGGAAGTTTGAAAGATACGAAATACGACGTTTGGAAGATACGAGAGAAGAGAAATGAAGAGATGAAAAAGGTAGAAAACTTGGAGGTGGAGAAAATGCAGACTGTGAAAGATAACTGAGAGAAAAGTATTAGTAGTTAGAGAAAATTGGGAAAAACAGGCAGTTAGAAGTATACTAAGTGAATTAAAGGGAGGGAGTGGAATGAAAAAAAGGAGAATTAGAGAGTGGGAAAAAGCAAGTTTTGTGGATGCTTTTTGGAGAGCTCAGCAGGAATGTAGAATAAAAAAGGAGGGGAGAAGTGAATGGGAAGAACGTGAAAGAAAAAGAACAGTCAGAAGGAAATGGAAGAATAGAAAAAAAAGAAAAAGGAAAAGAAAAAGACGATATAAAAAATATATTTAAGAAAGTGGAAATTGATGTAAAGGTAACGAAGATAAAATACAGCCCTAAGTTAATAAGATAAAATAAATCATAAATGCGATTTTTCTCTGTGTAATTTTAGAACTACTTAAATAATTCAACAGTATTTTGACAGAGGAGAGCGTAGGAGAATTCGTTGATCGTGGTCTATTTGGTATGGGCGGCTTGCCTAAGATGTCTACATTCTTCTCACATTAGTTCGAAGTTAAAGTAACTTTATTATATTTTCTTACCGATCACTGGCATTGTTTTGCGCTATAGGTGACAATCAGCACACAAAGAGCATCAGCATCCGACTCAGAGCCCACATCAACAACAGTAATGGCTCAACAGAAACCGTTGGTCGATCAAAAACCTCTAATTGGGCAGTTTGCAGACATCAAAGGAAAACCAGTACTTGCACCAACAACCGAAAGCTGTATGCCTGCCATTACACCAAGCACATTGCAAATCGTTGCATTGACTAAGGCTGGGGCGGATTTAACCAAAACAGGCCTTAACCCCGTGGTTACCATAAAGACGGAGGAAGAGAGTGCCGTTGACTCGATCAGAGATGTCAAATTTGAAGAATCTGAGAAAGTCAAGGAGGCTGTGCAAGAAGTGCCAAAGATCATGCTTGAGTCATCATCAGGTGATGAGCCAACAGAGTTGACAGGGGTAAGTGAAGCGAACAGAATGGAAATGGCACGGCCCGAGTCTTTGTTTTCTGTTGGAAGCCAAGCAGGACTCGCCCCCTTTACTTCAAGAGTCAATTACGCCCAGTTCAGCCCCACTTTAAACCCACTTAATCCTCAAACTCTGAACAATAGCCTAAGTAATGCTCTGCAGACAGCCTCATCAAAGTCTGGTGAGAAGTTCGAATCGGAGCAAGATAAGCGGTCTAAAGAAAGTGCAGACCTTGAAAGTAGCGAATCTAGGGACGAAGTGCGTGCAAAGATGCGCCTTGAGGATATCGCGCCAGATTCAATAGATGCCAGTCTTCGTCGTTTTGTGTTCAGCAAAGATGTGAAAAGTGAAGATATGGTACCTTCCTCGCCAGATGAACCAGATGCAACAGTTGAGCTGCTGCCCGGGAGCTTAGGACCGCATTTGTTTCCAAAGGACACCAAGCCAGCTTTTGCTTTGCAACAGGCGTCCTCCCCCGGGCTCGCTGGTGACCAGTCTAGTTTCCAGGCTTCCCATTTTTCAGTTTCACTCTACAACCAGCTTCGTCAAGGTCATGCTTCTAGGTTGCTAATGGGCGTAGATTCTGTGACAGGAGACCTTGCCGAACCGTCTGATATTCAAAGAGCTATAGATCAGGTTGATGTGCGACGCCATGTCTCACCAATTTTACTCAACTACCTCAACACAGGATCAAGAGGTATGCAGCAACGAATCTTGCATTTTCACTTTCGCATTGTGTTTCTAATTTATCGACTTATGTGTGCAACGATCAGGCGGGAGTGTAAAATTAATGAGCCGTTGAGAATTATATTAGTAGTTCAACTTTTCCTCGACTGATTCAGCCGCAAGATATTATTTTACAGTTACCTTGATAATGTATGGTTAAGGCTAAGGTTCTGGCTCTCTTCCTGGCTTTGCTCTGCGCATGCACAGGTTGCATTAATAAGCTAATATCTTTGTGTTTGGAAAAAACGTTTCATAGCCAAGACATGCACTATGCTTTAGGAAATTTGACATTTCTTTCATCAAAGATTGATTACCATACCTCTAAATTCTTTCTTTTTAAAGCGTGCTTGGAACAGGCAGGCCCATGCGCCTGTGGATTTTGTAAACTTGTTTTTGTTTAAACTAGCCTCATTTAACTTTGGGTGACTTTTCTGTTCTAAGCTCGAGACAGTGCTGCCGAAGGCGAGGCAAACAATGACGAGGTTTCCACAAGTGTCAAATTGGATGCCAATGGAAGGCCAGTAAAGAAAGTCGAGGGTAAAGAAGCCTCTAGTCCTAGTTCGACGTCATTGCTACCAATTGGAGCAGGGGGACGAGTAGATCAAAACCAGGCCCGCAGAGATCGTGCTCAAGGTGAGTTGAAAACATAGTGTTTCTTCGTGGAAGCCTGGTCACTGACGTCACTCTTAGGGGGGGGGGAAGGGGGGCTATTATTATTCAAATGATTTCAAATGTCAATTTTGTTGCAATAACGCTTTAAGCAAAGAGAACTCCAAATTTATCGACCATTAACCCTTTCATAAAGTCCGTAATTTCTAATTGACTTCCAGATATGAACAAAAATATATAACTATTGATACTTATTTTGCTATAAGCAGTCCTAAATTCCACCTGATATCGACCATTTTGATATGACCCTGTTGTTTATCACTAAGTCATTAAAGTAAGGCAAGGCAATTTTCATTTAGACATAGTTTTAATGGCGTTTTCAAACTGATACTGAAATTTCTTCAGGTTTGAGTGGAATATTTTCAGATTGATTTTTTTTGACTTGCTAATTTCAGAATGGCACATTAACGCTATGATATTGTATATTTTGTGTGCGGTCAAACCGATGAATAAAGATTTTTAAAAAAGTTAAAAATTAATTACCATTCTTGCGAACATAATTCGTGCAATTTCTTTGATGTTATGCTATTTCAAATTGTTTCTCTGACCTCGGCTTCTAATGATGTGTTAGAAATTAAGTATACCTTCTATATATTTTTACCTTGCGTACTTTTAAATGACCAATGAAACACTTATTGCAGGAAATACAATCCAAAAACCGGAATTTCTACAGCCTAACATAAGTGCTGGTAGGCCCATTGTAAAGCCAGCCTCCAAACCAGAGAGCATTACAGGGGGCCTGAAGATAGGGGGCAACGGAGCAAGCCGATTTGGGCAGCATGGGCAATTTGCCGCTGAAAAGCAAGGTGAAGATTGTAACCAAGGTATGTTTGATAGAAACTATAAAAGCAGTAACTTTTATTTCAGCTGCTCTATATCCTGCTCGTCTGATAATAATCTTAGCATGAACAGAATGCACCAGCTTACCCTATTCATATATTGCTATAAAGTCTCGAAAAATTTCTTGTCTTGAATATTTACTTTTTTTAAATAGAGTACAATGATCAATAACGTTATTTTGGGCTTAGCCCAAGATTTGCTGAAGATGGTCCCTAAATAGTCCTTTTAGGTGCGCAAGGACTTTGCTCTGGCTGGCTTTATTAAACATATATCTGATGCATCATTAACAATACATAAACATGTTTTAACAATGAAACATCTACAACTTTTCAACGTTTGCGATTCTGTGAGGTCATCCATTGGTCGCTTTTCATATTTGCAAATTCTCACTCAGTTTTCTTAACGAATCTTGATTTCTCTAAGAAAATATGCCACTGCTTGTACTTTGTTAGTGCCCCCCCGTCAAAAATACAGCTCCCAACAAAAGATTGATCTATCTTGGAATTTTCGTTATAGAGAGCCAGTCTACAGGCGAAAGAGCTGTCACCCCAAAAAACCTTTCTCCGACATCATACGTCGACAAACAGATGATAGAAGCAAAAACTTGGGTGCCAAAGGAGGTCTATTGGCAGCCTCCACAAAAGAAAACAATAGGGCAGGATAGACCTCAGTTTTCCCCGGGGAAGGAAAAAACTGGGAAGGACCAAGGTGCAACTGTGAGAATGGGATCGGAGGCAGACAAGAAAGTGGGAAGCCCATACGACCATGGAGCCGTTGCTGCGGAGTACATGAAGAAGATAGAGCATGGTACGAGTCCGAGTCCGGTCGGGAAAAAGAATAAACCGAATCCTACGACACCAGTTCCTTATCCAAGCACGGTTATGACACCTTCAAGCTCGGAAACTGATAGGATAAAGCAACTTGATCCTCAGCAAGGTAATCACAGATTGTTGACATTCAGTTTTTCCAGCTTATTAGACTGGAAATTTTTTTAATGACCACCATTACGAAATAATATGTTGATCCTTAATCTTGATTGTGGAAATGGGGTATTTCAATGTATTGTTTTTATCTCTTGTTTGCAGATAATAGCCAAGACGTTCCAGAAATATCCCGCTTTACTTTAACAGGTGGCAGATCAGTACCTAGCCCAGCGGAATGCCGCGGGCGCCCTCGGAAAATCCGCGTTGAGAAAACACAGCAGATTCCAGTCGGAAGTGCAAAGGATATTGAAGGGTCACGTGGTGCTCCTGAGCACGGTTCGCGCAAACAGACAACAACTTGCAGTTACACACGTACAAGCGTAATACATTCAATGAGTACTCCTCCAGAGGAGCTGCGAACTGTCACATCTGTGAAGGAAGAGTACGTATCTCCTGATGGCAAAAGGAAAAGTCCCGCTGTACAGCATGACCGGCTGGCCTATGAGAAGAAAATGAAGCAGGATTTCAGAAAAGCGGAAGCCAATCGAATATTTGAGGCTGAACGCGAGAAACTGAAGACTCGGCATGTTGAAAGCCACTACGCAAATGAAGTCAGAAACATGCAGATGAGGTTTGTGATATTCAAAAATTCGACATCGGTAATCTTTTTTTCCCAGTCCATCAATTCGTTATTTATAAGTGACCCTTTAAATGTCCTTGGTACGTTAACAGGCCAGGTGAATGGAAAAAGGCTGCTGCTTGCAGTATTAAGCATCGTACCCTCAGCGTGACTATTAAGGAATGGTCGGTCAGTAGAGCTTTGTTTTCTCACCAGTCACGTTGCTTTTGTGGAGCAATAAGATACTTACTTTCGAGATTCTGCCACGGTTTTTGTAAAAGATCCACTTTAGTATCCCCATCATTGTTATGTCATCAAGTTGCATGTCTTTTCAGTATTGTCAAGTAAGGCTCTACATGTTTTAGGGCGCAGGAGCTGCAAGCACTTCCAAAAGGCGAGTTAGCCTTACGGGGCTCTGCATCCCCCAGTTCAAGATTTCCAGGCATGTCTGCTTCGGCATTGGACAAGGCTGATCGACATTCCAGGGATAGGGTAAGTCAGTCACCACTATTTGGTATCTAGAGATTTTTCAGGGGGTTGAAATTTTAATCCCTGTTTGTCTTATAAAATCCTGTTTTTGGAATGAAACCCAAAAGTTAGTTGTTTAAACACATTTTTCTAGAATAGTGTTTGTGCATTGTAGTATGTTCATTTGGATTCTGTATGCTGTTTTTACTTTTTAATGTTTTTTTATAACATTCAAAGGTTATCTTGTCTTTACTCTTCGTAAGAAGGTGGTTTTATCAGTATTCGCTTTTTTCGAAAAGTTTTTAACGGTACTAAATTTAAAAATGGCTTTGAATGACAGTTAACATTTTTAGACGTACTGAAGATTTCCTCTGACTCTCCATAGCTTACAATTAGTCACTATAATGAACCAAAAATATTTGTAGTTAGAAAATATTACACATCACATTTCCTATTGTTATTCTGACTGTGTTCTATGCTGAAACGAGTTTCACAGGACAACCTTAAAGTATATGTCTAAAAATGTTCTCTTTTTCAAGCTACTCTCTTTTTTGTCCATATCCTCTAGATTTCATCAGATTTTAATTTGATTTTCTAGCTATTTTTGTTGATAACATTTACTTGGTTTTCGTATGAATGCTTTCTAAAGGTAGATGTAGTTTTGGCTTGGTTGGCAAGGTCTTCTATTATTCTCGTTTATCGTCGAGCGATTACTACGAACCATTCTAAGAAGCCGTGTTCTTTTTTGCAGATGGACACCAAGAGCATTCCAGTGTCACCAGCATATGGCCAGGGTACGTCATATCCCTCTCATCCAGCATCTGAAATCGAGAAGTTCCGACCTGAATACCCACAGCATGATTTTCACAGGACACCATTTGCTGGCTCTCTCCCTCCAGTAGAAGGCTATCTGGGGATGTCCACCTCGTATGCTGGCAGTAGCTATTATGGTCAGCGGGTGGGGATGTCCCAGGCAGATGCATTGGCGCAACAACGTTTTGAACAGTTGATATCGAATTCTATGGAACAGGAAAAGGCTTTTGCTAAATATTCGGCAGAGAAGAATGAGCAGGCTTTAAAGCTAGCTGGAGAGCAAGGCAAACACCCACACGCAGATAGGATGAGACCGTCAAGCCGTGATGGGCATAGTCACCGACCTACGTTTTACCCATCGCCACTAGGATTCCAAACTAGGGAGCCAAGCAACCCATCACGTAGCCCCAAAGGAAGCCCGTTAAGTTACAGACTTGGAGATATGCTGGCAGCCTCGAGAGGCCAACGACTCGAAAGCGAAATTATCCCCAAAGATTCAAAAGCAGGGATGGGCGATGGTCGACGAGACATACGCCGAGAATTTGGCCACCCTTATGGACCCCAGTTCTTTCAGCCCTCATACCAATATTCAGGACTCACGTCCAATAAACCTTTCTCACAAAGGATGAGTGAGCAGCGAAGCCCATATAAACACCCGTCTGAGATGGAGAAGGGGCGATACCCATCACACTCAAGCAGCCAAGCACATAGCGGTCCAGGAGGTATGCTGTCTGCGAACCTCGTGTTGACTAAAGCGGATAGCCTTGGCTACGGATCGGTTCATTATGACAGTCGAAATCCCGATAAAAAATGAAAATCCTCTCGAAATGCGATTCTTTGGATTTCTCCTTAAGCATTTTACAATGACAAGCTAAATTGGTGACATCATTTGAGTAGAATTTTTTGGCTCGCCTTTTTGACATATAGAGCACCTCGTTCTACTAGGAGATCTCACCATTATCGAATGTATTATTTGAATCTTAACTTCGCAAAGGTTTCTAAATGTAACCCTGTAATGTTGCCGCTAGAGAGACCTAGAAAATCGAGTCCTATGCGACGTATCAAATGCGACGCTAAATGTTTTCCCCTCCTACCGACAAATCGTCGAAACCTTTACTGACAAATGTGCTATGTGTTCCTCTGTTGCGGTAACAAGATTTTTTTCTCTTGTCATTTGTGACAGCAAAAGTGTCAGTTTTCAAGACAGGGCAGCAATGCGAGATTCTATTCTGAAGAGATGCATTGCGAGATTCCACGCCACACGAGTGTATTGCGAGAATCCACGCTACACGGATGCATTGCGAGATTCCACGGTACACGGATGCATTGTGAAGACGATATCTTTTAGCTTACAGCGGTTTTGTTTTGTTTTGTTTGGTATATTGAGAAACGATTTTGTAATTATTGTGCAAGTAGGTTGAATCAGCTGGAGTAAAAATTGTAATGAATTTGTGTAAACATGATTACTTGCAGTGGCAGACACCAGGGGGGCCAGGGGGTAGACCGCCCACCAATACTTTAGAGGACAATGGTCTTTTGTTCTAAACAATGGGAAATGTGACGCCATCTTATTAAAACAATAGGCTTGCCCCCCATATTTGATCAAATGTCTGCCCCTGGTAACTGGCCATTGAAGTACGATTTTAAATACTTTTTCACTTATCCAGAAAGAATCATTAAACCTTCCTGCCGTTATGCCATTAAACTGTTTGGCATGATATCCTGCTATATTTGAATAGGGCTTGACCTGTGTTAAGAAATAACTGGAAATTTATAAATTCATAAATTCTGGTCATTTTCATGAATATTCATGTTGTGTATTCACACGATATATAATTTTAATACACGAGTTTCCACTCTAAGAGCTTGCACCCTTGATCCTAGGACTTAAGATTTCTACCAATGCAAATAATTAAATTCAAGTTTGTCAGTATTGTTTTTTGGATGTTGTTTTAAAAATGCTGATTGTTGGCTGAAATGTCACAAATGTAAATACTACTTTTCCATAAAAAGAAAACATTGTGGGTTCTGCTTGAGACAGAATGCTGGAGCTATGTTGAGACGACCGGTTAAGTTCGTCGAGAGAATTTGCAGTTGTTTTAACCAATGAATAAACTTAGCATCTACTGAGCGCATTTCAATTTGTAAATACCGTTTACCGCCCAACCATCTATAATAAAAGACGACAACAATTTTGTTTCATTTAGCTGGAGGTGTGTTGTCCTGGTTTTGTTAATTTTTACTCAAATTATTGAAAATATGTGCGTTAAAGGCCTCGTGTAATTTTTGCTTTTATGTTTTCTTAGTTTTATTAACTTCAAGAAGTGAATTTCGAAATTGGGAAATAAAGTTGTTTTCTTTCTCCAAACTATTCTCTGTATTTTCGATTATTTTGCCATGAATACTGCGCGTATAATTGATAATGCAGCCATAATTGACGCTATTGTAATATATTGCTTTGTAATATCGCTATTGCTTTTAAAAATCTTTTTATTAAATGTTCATGACAGATTCAAAAAAAAATTTCTAAGTAGATTTGTCCGTGATTGCCCAGCGACTACCCTAGCTAGAACCAACTTTAAATTACGAAAAAACAGCTGAAATTTTTATTAAAAAAGTACTTCCCCATTTCTGAAAGAAGTCTGTTTATCTGCATAATATTTTATCATTTTTTCTAGCAAGTTGATTGAACTTTTGCATGTAAAAATTGCTTTGAAAAAGCTGCAGAGGAAAACTTCAATAGGCAAACTTTGTGAAGAAAATGGCTTTGAAAAAAGCAAATATTTAGTAAACTAAAGCTTTTCGTCTGACACCCTTCAGAGTTTAAAACGTCAGAACATAGACCGATCTATGTTCTGACGTTTTAAACTCTAAAGAGTGTCAGACGAAAAGCTTTAGTTTACTAAATGTTTCCTTTTTCAAAGCCATTTTCAAGTTTTGTACCACCAAAAGATTGTTCTATGTTCTGACGTTTTAAACTCTAAAGAGTGTCAGACGAAAAGCTTTAGTTTACTAAATGTTTCCTTTTTCAAAGCCATTTTCAAGTTTTGTACCACCAAAAGATTGTTTGTGAAGAAAGTTATTTTTGGGTTATTTGCAGACGTTCGGGCAGGGGCCAAAGGATACTGTAAAATTTGCAGCATTAGCATTTTACAACTTTTGTTTTCTTATGACGTACTTAATTGATAGATGAAATAACAAGAACATAAGTATTAGGAAATCTGAGAATTTATCAAATCGATCAAATCAAAATCGTTTTAAAATTATGATAAGCTTGAAACAACGTTCTTTTACAAAGACCATACCTGATATTGTATTACCATGGCAAAAGGATCTGGGTACTAGTATTTTGGCCTAGGCAAAACAAGTTTCAAGTCTGATTTTGAAACCAATAGAACACGGGCTTGTGATGGTTTTCCTGCATGCAGACTGAGTTCCCGATAAAGGAGGATGCTTTGGTAATTTCAAAAAAGCCTCAAGGTGCAAATTTAATCTGATACTTGCAGAATGAAGGAGGTTCTAGAAAAAATTACGCTCGGGATTTTAAAGTCACTCGGTTGGTTGAAACTTAACATTCAGTTCAGTTTTCATTTTTAACTTAAATTGCATACAATTGAATGATAAGAAATCTACAAATAAATTGATTATTGCATGGAAGTTCATAACAAAATACTACAGGAAATCAAAATAGCACTATACAAGTACAATGAAGCAAGATAAATCGTATGAAGGAAATTACTTCGAGTTCGAGGAGAACTCTTTAAATGCAAGAAACAAGCCGAGGAGAGAGCACCCCCTAAGTTGGTGACCCAGGGTGCAATCAATTTAAAACTCACTCTAAAGGTACACTAAAAAAAGGCCAGTTGTAGGTCAAGGTTCATTTGCGATCATTATGCTGACAAAACTCCCTCCTCCATCTTTACAACCCAATGTATTGGTACATTTTTTATGATACAGTAGTATACACAAACAATCAGAGAAAAACAATTTTTTGCTGCACCATCATGCCATTTTACCAAATTACAGTTTATGCCTCACCTTCGCAGATGCTTATCTCCAGGGGCAGTGCTAGTAAAATTTCTTATGGGGGGGGGCCAGACTGGAAACTTTGCTGCGCGCCCGCAATATATTGCCCGCGCACACATCTGCGCGCTTTTGCATATTGGCCGCGCAAAATCCCCTAGATCCCTAGACAATAGCATTTAACACTATTAACAATGAAAATAACTAAGAGTGCATGATTTCAGGCGCGCAGTCTCAAATTTTCAAAATAAACTTGCCCGCGCAAGAAGCAAAGTTTCCAGTCTGGGGGGGGGGCATTGCCAAGGGTCAGGTTCCTTAGTAAGAGACTTTTAAATTAAGTAAAATGAAGCTCTGATGTCGAAAATAGAAGAAGGGGCCTTCTGTTTCCCTAGTGTAAGTGTAAATAAAAGTTTAAAAATGTTTCATTTATTTTAAAGGTTGGCTCATTTTTTAAAACCCATGAAATGAAAAAACAATCAAGTATATCATCAACTATCATTGATTTTTTTAATTTATGCAAACACAAAGTTTGCTGAGTAGGCACAAAAAATACAGAATCTGCCAAGTAAAGAACCAGTTTGAAACTCTTGGGAAGTGTCAACCCAACACCTCTTCCCCACTCTGCATGTAAGCTGTGAAAAAACACCAAAATTTTGTCCTCTCATAAGTATGAGACAAAAAGCAACATAGTATGATGTGTTTCTCATGCTTTTTAGATTTTATTTTCGAAAGAAAAATTGATATTAATCACTTATATTTAAATACAGAGCAGCAGCCAGGAGTGACAAATGTGAAAATGATGGATCTAAAGCCTGCAGACCAATCTGTGATAGATGCATGGGAGCAGGTAAAGTCTTTGATAAGATTCAGTGTGTTTTTTTATTAAAGGCTCATTGCTAACAATGGGCCTTTGCGAGCGTGGTGACGGCCCAAACAATGGCAGTAATTTTCTACAGATTAACCAAAATTGATTTTAGACAGTCTAAAAATGCATTATGGGATGCTTACGTAGCGCAATGGCTCATTGTTAGCAATGAGTCTTTAAAGGTGAAAGAATTAAATAACTAGTTAAGCAAATCAAACAGTATGAAGTCTAGAACTTTTTATCTCAAACTCAAACATTCAGGCATGTTTCTATACTTTAATGAAAATATTTGCAAGTTGACTTAGGTTTTTATGGTGACCTCTCTGAGGATGTTTGGACAAATGCCTCTTTTTTGAGACAAGGTGTCCATTTAAGCCAGTGCTCCTACAAGTTTGCAATGATTCTGATGTTCCAGCCTTAGCAATGCTTTGTTATGTTTGATTGAATTATTTTCTCTTTGCAGAAATACATGTGCAAACTTCCAATGGAGTTAAAAAACTTTTACCTGACAACAGATGGAATGTTAATTCAATGGAGTATAACATTTAAAGGTAAACATCAATGTGTTGTATTCTGTTTTTTTATCTGGAAAAAGTGGCTTCGACAGTCAGTTGCAGACATTAACCAAATAATTTTGAACAGAAATCTTTTCTTACATGTTTCCTCTACATCCAAAATAACTTCTTCTCCCCAGAACAATGTTGATAAGGATAAAACAGTTTCATGTAAAAACTGACACGAAACACAATCTTAATAAGATATTAGGGAAAATGTGTTCTGTGTCAGTTTTTGCATAAAACAGCCATTTTCTAGTGAACCAACATTGCTGGCAGAGGAAAAGGTGATGGCTTAATCTGCCCTTTGAAATGGGGTCAGTGATCCATGGTATTTGTATGTGCCAGGATTTTATATACTTCTAAGGGATCTGCTGAAGTGACAAGAAAAGAAGAAAGGAAAACAGAGTGAAGAAGAAAAAGGAAGAAAGAAAGGAAAGAGAAAAGACAGGAATGGGATAAAAACAGAAAAAACGGAAAGTAAAAAGATAATTATAAGCAGAAAAAAGGGAAGAAAAAGAAGGAAAAAGTTTAAACTATTCAAGAAGAAAAAGAAAAGAGAAGAAGTGACAAGTTGAAAGGAGACAGGAAAAAAGGAATAATAAAAAAAAAGAAGAAAAAGAGAAAGATGAAACAGGGTTCAGAAAAATGAGGGAGAATAAAGAAGGTAAAAGAAGAAGTAGAAAAACAAAGAAAAATAGAAGAAAAGAAAATAAAGGCTAATTGATAGAAAAAGAGGAACAAGAGAATGATTGATTTTCTATGAATTTCACACCTCAGTCCCCCTGCCTTGAACTTTTTTTAGGATTTTCCGCTGTATTTTCAAAGACACTTTATGCCTCCATTCAAAATACTGCTACAACTTCCTTTAAAAAGCTAGTTTATTGCACTCCCTATAAATTATTTCAACTGTATCAGAATCAATCGTTTCATTTGCCTTGTAGGAAGCATCATGCCACTTGGAAGGATGGAAGTAAATCCAATTGCAAGTTTGACAAAGTTTGCTACACCTCAGAGTGGGAGATTTACTGATGGGCCTTCCCTGCTTGATATTGACACAGATGAAGATGAAACTGATGAAGAAGGTATTCATTGTCAATTCAAATGTAATATACCATCTTCATCAAAGACGGGCTTACGTTTTTCTTTGTATCCAATGCATATTGCGAAGTTTAAGAATGACAAAATGGCCTGTTTTTGGATTGTCCTTTTTGAACTGCTAAGTGATCTTTATAAAATTGAATATTTAAAATTTAAAGGTGTCAACAAAATTTATATTACTAGCTTTTGAGATAATGGATTTTTATAATTCTTAAAGGCCATTTATGGGATGCTGTGACTATTTCCATAAAGCACTAAAAGTGGATTTTTGGTTCTTAACCAGCTATCCACTACGATGAAATATCTAGTTTAAAGAAAGAAGTTGTGTAAATATTAACTTTACTAAGCGATGAACCGCCACGGTGTGATATGTTGAATACATATTTGATGTAAACCTAATTTATTGAATTCTGTTCAAGAGTGCAAGCTCTTAAAACTATTCTTGCTATAAATTAGAAGATGTAATTATAACTTTTTTGGTATAATATTCTTCGATTATTATCAAAGGAAACTATTGTTTATTCTACGAGGGTCATTTTGCATTTTCTTGGTCCTGAACATGTTTTTGACTGCAGTTTGGCTGTAGACTCTTATGTTTGATTTTAGCAAGAGTAGATTTTTTTCATGAAAAAAACCGCGACTGTATTTTTTTTACTTATCTTTGCGCATTGCGTATTTTTGTTTCTCGTTTGAATATATCATCCTGCTTTACATCATTTGCAGGTCGGATCAAACCACATTTCGACGAAAGAAACAGGATTTACGAACTTGACAGCTGCAATGGCAATGGAAAAGTCTGTTTGGTTTACAAGGATCTTAAAGCTGGTATGAACAAAATATTTGGCTATAGAATTTCTAAAATTTCTAAAATGATCTCAAATGCAACGGTGTGCACAAATTCTAGATTTCCTACATAAATTAGGTCAAAGGCGAGGTGTTAGGGACGCTGACTGATCATAGCAAAGCCAATCAGAGCCAATCAATTGTTTTCCTAATGTCTTATTACGATTCTTACATCAGCCGAGACCTTCTGAGCACCTCTCAAACGCCATGCTCAAGTTGGACAAATGTAGTTTTCCTCGCGACAAATGCCTATTACATAATGCCAATATTTGCTCGCTTTTTGTTAACGAAACCTATGAAGGTAGGCTGTTTAATGCTCTACTTCCGAGTTTCGTGTCCAAAATAATCACCAGTCAACTCCAGAAAAAACCAGTCCTCTCTTCGATGTTTACAATCAAAGGCAAATAAGCAAAAATCGTTTTATGAGTCCAATAGGTGAATCATTTGACATTAAACACAGTTTAACAGATCCGTTAATTGTAACAATTATTTTGCATAATAGTTTTTAAGTGAAGAAAATGGTGCCAAAAGAAAGTAAACAATTCCTTACAACAACAGCAACAACGACTTAAACAGCAGCAGCAACTGTAAAGATCGAATTTGCACAGACTACGGAAATTTTTATCAAATTGCAAAGTCTTGCAGATTTTAATTTATCGTTATCCAAATAATTTCTCCTTTCGTTGTTATGCAGCAGAAATTAACTGAAAAGTTTTTATCGCATTTTCATTAATTCTGTATTTTAGTTATTAATTAATATATGCCTATTTATTATAGGATTCACAACAAGCAAGCCAGAGATATGGTTTTTGGATCGGTCATTGCAGTGGTCCTTCCTGTCAGATAATTTCGTTAACTATTTTCGAATGATGATGATACATTTAGGCCTTCCAAATTGGCTGTATCTGTTTACAAAGATTGGCCTGAGTCCTGAAACTAAGGTACACTATCAGTTATTATTCAACCTTCGATTTTCTATGGATGAAATTTGGCACTTTTTGCTTTGATATGGCCCTTTAAAGGGTGCTGCAATTTTTTACACTAATACCGAATAAAATCCTTTAGCATTTTTTATAACCTTGGGATTTCTCCTATTTGCAGATTTATTCTTGTACAGCGTTAGCAAATTTTTGGGCATGCTTTAGAAAATTTTCAAACAAACCATTCTGAACTATTCTTTTAAAAAGTTGCCTAAAGTGTAGGATTATTGTGACTTTCCTGAAAAGATGTCAAACCCCTAGATATCCTGGTATACTTTACCTTCGATTTCTTTTACATAAGATACAAGTAATTGTCGTAGATTAACTTGAAAAAGGTTTAAACCTGCTTGTTTGAATACATAGACTGAAAAAATCCGTTACAACTCATCACATCCGCCCACCTACGCTATTACGACACGCTGCACTTCTATGTTAGGTTAATCCCTTACGCCTATTACCCTCTAGAAGGCCTAAAAAGTTGAGAAGTAGACTGTTGAGATCCTAACCTTTATATGGGGAAAGTTTTATAAATATTACCTCATTTGCCTTGGTATTGCTCACAAATACCTCATGAAAACAGCTAATAGTTGTTCTTTTAGAAACACGGAGCAGCTCGTATGATGCACCTGGAGTTTTTATATTGAATTTTCTTTCATTATCAATTGTCTTTAAAATGTCCTTAAGGATGGTTACTATCTTTTAGACACGGAGTACTCACATCCTTGCTTAAAAACGTGCTCCGCATTTCGACATACCGACATCGACATAGTAGTTGGAATTCGAATAGTGATTGAAATTTGATGTAAACAATCTTTTGGTGGTACAAAACTTGAAAATGGCTTTGAAAAAAGCAAACATTTGAAAAAACTAAAGCTTTTCACCTGACACTCTTCAGAGTATAAAACGTCAGAACATAGATCGAAAACTCTACGCTAGGAAGTATATATACCCAGCTGTGGATCGAAATAGGCCAATCAGAAACGCGAGCACATGACTTATGATTGAAATTTGATGTAATATTAATGTGACCAATAGGAGGGTCAGGGGATATCTTTCCACTACACCAGTCCACCAACAAAAATATTGACGTGGATGTTATTTGAAAAGGGAGTTATAAGCTGTGGCAGCGTTTACGAGTTTTTTGCAGTGCCCCTTGCCATTATAGTATACAGGGGAGCTTTCTAACGAAGGTTTCATTTTTTATTTTACAGTTCTGGTTTCATTTGTATGCACCAGATAGACTTGCTTTGGAGGCCAACAATAATAAAATAAACACCGATAACGTTGACGAGGGTTCTGGTGCAAAGGTTGTTAAAATCAACCCTCAGAGACTTTTTAAAGGAAAATCAGAGAAGAAGAAGGCTGGAGGCGAGCAAGGAAAAACCAGAGGCCAGGGGACTGTGAGTAAAACAAGGCCGTCGGGTGGCAAACATCTCAAGAGTGCCAGTAGATTGCAGCAAAGATAGACAAAAGACTTAACGTTATCTTCTTTAGAGGAACTTATCTGGAATTTTATCAGTGCAACAGTTTGATATTGCTTGCAAGAGCATCCATGGATTCAGGAAAGTTATACTGAGTGCGGCATAAAACAACCCATGCACAGATCCAAATACATGGTCACAAATAACACGATCTTTATATAAATAGATATTTGTTACATAATCCTATAGAAACTTCAATCAATGTTTATTTATTGCCCACTGTAAAATGATGTGCAGTTTCAATTTATAATAACTGACAGTGAATACGTTATAAACGGTCGCACATATGTATTTGTTAATATTTGGTAGTTAATATGTGTCTTTTTAAGTATCTCTTAAAGTTAGTTATAGCATTAAATTCTTAGTTGTTAGTGAATTTATTCCCTTCCCCCCTTATTATTTTGCGATCCCTCGCGGTATTACGTTTCATCGTTTATTGATTTTTCTGATTTCACAGATGAATTTAAATCTTTTGTTATTCATTGAAACATGAAAGCTCTTTATCGTGTTTTTTTAGGAATATTATTTATAAGAAGAATATTCAGAATTATCAAATTTTTAAAAAAAATTATAAGAAAATTGCTCAGGCTAGGCTCGCATATTTGTGTCTTATTTTCAAGAGAATGCTTGTTTTGCGATATTCTTAATGAATAATGAAATAATGTTATCTTGATAACAGATAATCGCAGACGAACATATCTCGTTTTTTCAAAAGTGTCGTTTCTATTCGATTTGAAAAAAATAAGCACACCCTAAAGATATATTCAGACTCAAAACGAAGCTGGACAAAATTTATGAAAAAAAAGTGTAGTATTACAAAATGTAGTACACTTTTTGAGAAATTGATTGTTTGTTAGTAATCACAGAATTTTCTTCTATTCAGTTAAAACCAGCCCATACTCCACACCCCTAACAGAGACCAGGCTAATTGAAATGCGAGTGTTTTGTAATAGTGCTAGTTTGGATTTCGTTTGTTTTGCATCCTGTAACCTTAGTAATTTTATCACCGTTCGCACATTCGATTGTTTATAATTCCTTTTGTTTTCTAATTGCACCTTTAGATTCATTAACTATTTCTTTTGGGATTTTTAGTATCATTATTCAGTTTATGTAATTAATCTTGGGACTAATATATTTTGTATTCACTATTATTATGTAAATTTTCGTAGCTATGTAGCATTACAATAAGTTCTTGTTTAGTTATATTTTGGGCGTGTTTCATATAGAGTTAGTTTTTGAGTTGGAGTTGGAGTTGAAGTTGGAAATGGAATTCGGTTAAGAGCGATTAGGTTAAGTTTGATATTTTGTATATTTAGTTTCTCGACGCTTTATAAATGTGGCAAGATGCTTGTGAAAGATCTTGTCGACATGAAGTATGGATTTATAGTATACGTATCTGGATTTATGGAACCGCGCGTGATGATTTATTGATTGTGCATTATTATAGTATAGTTTGAACGGACAGTGCTTGTGAAAGACTGTGCCTGTTAGAGAAACATTGTGAAGTTTATAACCTTTCGCGGAAAGATCACATGATCGGAAGATGGACGTTTGAAACATTATTTATTCGTCTCTTTGTCTCAATTCTCATTGAAGGACTAGTTTATATCGACGGTAACGATAGGGTGGATGTATTCTTTTAACAAAAATAACCCTATTACAGTTTCTTAATAATCTTTGCCCCTTACTAGACCCCCCCTCCTATTCCATCAAGATTTTTCCTAACCCAACCAACCCCGTTTTTCTGATCTTCCTATTAATTAACAACTTGGGACTATGTAAATTTGTTTGTAAATGTTAATCATGTTTTTAGCGCTTCAAAGTTTCCAAAAATGGGCATTTCTCGCGCTGTTACTTTTCGCGCCAAAATCAGCCTCCCTTTCGCCAATTCCAATTCGAATGGGGTTCACCACAACAACAAATTTGCTCATGCCAGCTCTGCAACAGTGAGAATTTTGTGAAATGATTCCACCAAGTTCTGTTTACTTGTGCATGCATACAAGTATCTTTCGAAGGAAATTCGTCGCCAAAAATGGTATTCTGGCTTTTCCAGCCAGAATGGCCAGGCAGTTGGTGCCTCAGCACCACGAAACACACAGCGAGAGTTAGAAAAGGGCCATCTATGTCCTGAGAAGGACCCAGGAAAGCTTTTGCTCGCAGTACACCTCAAACATGGTTCGAAGAAAATTCCGTCACAGGAAAATGGTAGGCAATTACCGTTTCAACAAGGCTGCTTGGTTTAGATTAAATCAGTCTTTTTTATAATTAGATCAATGATTAGATAGATTATGATAAATGCACCTCTACACTTCACTTGTAAAATCAAGATGTATCAACAGTTTCACAGTGCCTTTCTATACCCATGTGTTGGCTTTAAATCATTTAATCATTTTGGTAACGGTAAAATTGAAATTTAATCAACATCACTAAAGTAGGTAGACAATTGTACGTAGTTCAGCGTGGCATGAATATTGGTGATATATTTGTTCACGATATATTTGTTTTGTATTGGCAATATAACAGATCTAGAGAGGGTGTACAGAGCTGGTGTGGACCTGTGTTTAAGCAAAAAAGTAATATCAAAATAAATCAGAATTTTAAAGTCTCTATCAGTTGTCTTGTTGCTGATATTTTTTCCACATGATTTGGACTTTTCTTCTATAAGCTTAAACATTCTTCCAAAGTCACAGCATGGTGATAAACTTTGATACAAGGACCAGGACAAACAAAATTAGATTAGAGGCAAGAAAACAATTAACTGTAGTAGACAATCATCCAGGCTGGTAAAAATGTATAATTTTTCTTGCCTGCTGTTACGACCGATGGCACATCATCAACCGTGACCTGCCAGCAGAAGCTTTTAGCAGCAAGTAACGATGCCCATATATTCATTACTATAGTCTAACTTATACGCCTTCATTGACATTCTGGGTCAGTCGCAACAATATAAGCATATGCAAGTTTTCCAGCCTGGTAGGTATAGGCATTTTTCCATGGGGCTACAAGGAGCGGTTGCATTTAGAACTGCTAATTGTACCCAAATAGGTTTACTTATGAATTAGACTCTGATTTGAACCGTACTTGTGGAAACAGGTAGCATGATTCCAACTTGATACAGATATGAAGCAAGGATCTTTGAAAATTCTCTCATTCCTCCTCTCTAACTGGGTAATGTTCTATGAACAGTACAGTCAAGTCTTTTTGCGAATGAAAATGCGAAGCCGGTAGCTAAACGAGGGGTTAGCAACGAGTGGCCTCCATTACACAAACTAAATTGCTGAAGAGCGGTGGGTACTTATATATGCTTTTTCAGTAAAGAATTGTCTCCCGGTCTTTTCGCTCAGCAAGCTTTGCAGTATTGTAGTCAAGGGTTATCTAAGTAGGAGAGCTGTTTTCTCTTCCATCCAGCTAAATAGCTTAGCTTGGTTTGCCATGCTAATTGCTTAGTGATTATTGCTCTTGGCCTAAATTAATGAAGCTTGAAGAAATAAATTGGGGTCCAAAGGAACCTGTCTTATTGAAACACAAGGCCTAATCAAACCCACTTTGATATGGTTCCAAACGGTCCTGTGGAGGAAACACAGTCTATATGTGACATAGCCAGAAAGATATGAATTGATTTACAGACAATCATGGATAGACTATGCCAATATATTAAAAACGTTTCAAGATAAACTCATCTCATCTTCAGCAAATGCAGGAAAACAAAAGGGGGGTTTAATATTAGATATTAATTAAACAAGAGATGCCTAAATAAGGGAATCTAATTGACATGGATTTGAATATAAAATTTAGAAATCTCCTGTATCTGGTTTGGCACTAACTTTACTTGTGCAGCAGTGGAAAATTGTTATGCAAATTGTGCTTTTTTTAGCCCTAACAGTACTTCAAGGGTTCTTGGTTTTTTAAATTTTAGGTTTGTCAAATGACTCTGTCGGCATTTATGTACACGCTCACTCAAGAAATGGGGAGGCGAATCAAGAACTTTTGACTTATTTGTTTAGAGTTCTTTGTGTAAAAAAGTCATCTTTTGCCCTTGAAAAAGGAAACAAGTCCAGGGATAAGTGTGTAAGTATAAGTAATTCAAGGCTATTTGAAGATGATTTGAAGATTGTAGAGAAAGAATTAGCAGAGAGTTTAAATTTCTATCTAGCCTTTGTGAAGATTTAATACAAAAAGATAAACCTTGAGTAAGAAAGTATAATTATAGTTAGTGACAAATTTTCTTTAAAGACATTTGGTACACTGTTTCTTTTTCTGTGCCATTGCTGTTAGACATTCTGTGACTCTGTGAAGAAATCTATTGAAATTTCTAATAAAAATATAGTATATATTCCAAACATCTAAAACTACTGATAACCTGAACTTTTGATAATGCAAAAAAGGATTGTAGCTTACAAATATGTTCAAAAATTTATTAACACAAGCTATTTCTATAGTACATCTGGAGGTCTCAAGTTATCAGAATTATTTTATATCTTTAATCTAGACAATAAAAGTAATTAATGCTGTCAACATAATTGTACTTTTGCCTGCAAAATCTATTCCACAGATAGTCCCCCTCTTTATATACCACATAATTCAAATGCTCTCAAATTCACAAGCAGCTCCTCTTAAAGATAACATTTTTCCCCAAAACTTCCAAATTAAAAATTTGTCCATAGATCACTTGAAGTAACTAACATTTAATCATTATATTTTTTCAAAACTGAATTATTATTCTTTTTTGTTTAGGCAAAGGTAATTCATTAATTATATTATTTCTTCTTGGAAGTTTGTTCTGGCTTTAATAAATCAATCATATTCAAATGTTATGGTTACTTATAAAAGTTTTATGCCTAGCTACTAAAATTTTTACATGTTTGGTTTTTGATAAGTATTGATACTGTTAATCATATTAAGCATGCTCCGACAGGACATGAATGGGGAATTAAAGCGTCCCTTCCCTCCACTAGCTTACAGATCCAACCTGACCCGACTGGTACCACCTGGCAGGGTTCCCTGGCTCAGGGCTACGAGTGATGGCCAACGGCTAACTCGGCAGGAGACCGGCAAGGAGGGTGGATGAGCTACGACTCCAGTGGTCAACGGCTTCGGGCGGAAGAACTCCTGGAGGGATGGTGTCCCTTTAAAAAAACTGTAGAGGTGGTTCTGGGGGCCCATCTCTACTATTAGCCCCTTAGTTTTATCTATGACCATGACAACAAACCAAAACTCAGATCAGATAGTTGGAGGGTCATGGTAGCCAACCTTCTGATAGAAGATGGTACCTGATGATGAATCATATTAACACCTTTCACTTTGTAATTCTAAATGAATCTTTTCTATGCAGACAACTCACATAAAATATAAGTTCTCATTTTCCTAGTATTGATTTTTTTCTCTTTGGAAGAGCATTCTGCAATGAAATACATGAGAAATATTTCCAAGTGTTTACAATCTTTATTAATTGGTAAACAAAATATTAAGGTTACAAATTCCTTAGCAAAACAAATGTAAGCATACAACAGGACCATGCTATTTAAGTTAATATCGACCTACAAACCAACATGCTTATAAAGAGTACCAAACGTTATAAATACTGTGTCATTTTTTAAAGCAACTCCATACTAATGTTCTCACAAAAAAGTTTGATATTTTCAAATCAAATAGTAATGGCATGGCAATGTTTATCAGCTCACAAGTTCAAGTCTAAATGGGTGAATTCTGTTATGATTCAAGTGGAGTCAGCAAAACATAGTTACGGGCAAGCTCAATAAACTATGCTAAATAAAACTACAATGATGCAAAGAGCTTTAATGCAGCCTAAAATACCCTCAAAGCAAATATTAAATATCTATATTTTTTCTTATTATTTTTGGATAGAACAATGTCAAATTCTAGGTACTGTTAGGATAGTTCAACTTCTTTTAGAGATCTGTTTGGAAACTTGACACTAATTTACCTCATCTACACCAGAACACAGAGGCTTAATTTGCCAAAAGATAAGTAAGAACATGCCCTAGATATAAATTTCTCTGGAAAAATTTATCTGGGTCAGGGTTTAAAAAAAGATGAGATTTTATCACCTATTCAACCAAGCTACTAAAAATGTCATGCCAAACTGTTGTTTAGTGCACTTAGTGTAATGGGGTGCAAAATTTTGACAGGAGAACTTTGAATTTAATGTAATAACAATTCAGCATACCAAACTTCAGCATACCTAACATCTACCCTGATATACGATTATTATAATAAACATATTCCTACATCCAAAGTTTTTAATGGTGTTAAGTATTACTGGATGAAATTGTGGCAACTGATGTGCATGCAGCTATAGCAATTTGCAGTCGGTTCACCTGAGTGCTCAGTTATTCAAGTACCAAGCATTTAATAGAATGTCAAGAACAACTGTCTTTATATTGCTACCAGCAATAGTAGACGCCCTCCTTCTTTCTTGCATCTTCACGACCTTTGCCACGATTGATAAGCCAGCTTGACTGCACAGAATCTTCTACGTTTCCTTTGCCACGTTTGAAGTACCAATCGACCGGTGTATCGCGCTGCCGCTCGCGTTCATGCATTGCTTTCAAGTACCAGTTATCGCCATCTTCCTTGCCAACAGCATTGCGCCAGCCTGTCCTACCTTGGCTCCAGTACAGGTACCAGCTCCAAGGAATGGCTCTTTGCTTGGCTCGTTCTTGCATCAGATTGAAGTACCACTTTGAATCTTGCTGTTTTTCATGTTTCTCCTGCTGCTGTTGCTTTGGCTTGGCGCCTTCAGGTTGGTGTTGACCAGCATCGCTTGATGTCTCGTTGTTCTGAATATTGAGACCGAAGAAAAATGGATTCACCTTCGCCACATCATTTGCATGGGGTGGCACTGGCCGCAACGCTGTATTTTTCTTCAGAACCTTTGCCTAGATAAGAAGCATAATATAAGGACGAAGAGAAAAGAATACGCTGGTACGCAGAAAATAGCAAACGATGATATACTATACGGACTTTTTTAAGGAAGAGTTTTTATGTGAATATAACATTTCTCGTTTGAGACGGATTTGTGGACAGGAACCTAGACATTGATTTGGTAAAACGTTTTACAAAGAGTCAAAGATGCCCCTAGCTGTCAATGGAACCTTGTCATAGACGATATTTTAGCTTGAAAATAAACAGAAATATGCCCAGACGAGCTTCAGAAAAAATTACCCATGAAATTGCTGGAAAAGCCTGTAGAAAACAACTTGAAAAGAAATGGTTTTCAGCGTTTTAGAGGGAAATGATGTTTTCCTGTAGTTTTAACCATTTGTCCTTTAGACTTCGTTTTTAGTTTTTTGTTCTAAGTATTCATTCTTTACCAAGGTCAGTTACGTTTCTACTTCCAAAATGAACTCTTACGAATTCCAATGAGGACTCTTACGAATGCTAGCCTCACTGAATGTGAGTCAGGCCAATGCCTTTTAACTCAGAAGTTTCCAGCAGCTGAAACTGGAAATTATTACTTAGAAAACCATTTGTGGACTTCAACTCAATCAAAATATTTCAACAAAATATTGTACTTTTGCAACTGTACTTTATTTTGTGATTTCAAGTAACTCTCCTGGAGCATTTTACCTTAAAATGCCTAACTCTGTTTTCTCCAGTACTGGCATTTAAGAGTTTTAAAAAACATGGATTCAAAAACAGTTGAAAGCATAGAAACAAGAGTACTCCGATGCAATACATAATGGCGACAGCTATCATTTCTGTTGGCTCTATTCATATGACAGCTCTGGCTGTCCGTATATCTAAAATATACTTCGTCTCCTCTTCAAATCGAGACTCACTGTGAAACCTGATAACTCTGTACGAGATTGCCGATTGCTGTACCCGTATAGAAAAATGTTATGTTACGTAAATAATGTTTTTATAACCCACCTCTGCTTGAATTGCATCCCATTGCCAATTCTTCTCTCTAAAGAATTTCTCAAATTCTCCGAATTGACGAAACTTACTTTTGTCACCTTGACAGTTATCTTTATCTGGACAAAAAACAAGAGGGACTCCGGTACTCTTATGTGTGACCTTGGTTACAGCATAGCCTCTGACGTTTAGGCCTTGGCAAGAGTGTTGGTCAGGACAATAAACAGTTGGTTTGTGAGTGACTGTCATTGACTCTTCCCTTCCCAAATGCTTTCGTTCTTTTGCTAAATTCTCTTGCACAATTTTATATTTTTTGGTAATCTCTTTGTGCATTTCATTTAAGTTAATTATCCGCTGCTTCATGTGCAAAACTGTTTCTTTCGCTTTGGCATGCTTTTCCTTCTCTTGTTTTAGAACACTCCCATAAAAAAGCTTCATCATATCCACCTGGTTTTGTTTCTTTCTTAGCTCGTTATTTTTCATGGCAATTTCTTCCGTCCTCGCTCGCTCCTCCTTCACCAGCCGTCGCAGTGCAGATCTTAGCTGGTCTAACTTGATATTAATAACAGACTCTTTTCGCTCTAGTTTCTCTTCTTTTCGTTTAATTTTTTCAGCCATTTTCTTCATCATGGCTGTTTCCTTCGCTTTCAGTTTCTGTTCTCCCATGTGTTGCCGACTTGAGCTTTCTTGCATCATTTTTTGTTTCATCTCCGCATTCCATGACTCAAATTCCTTGCGTTTTTTGGCAAGTTCCTCCTCATTTCGTTTTAATTTTAACTGCAATTTGTTCGCCCTCTTCTTAAACTTAGCCTTCTCTTTATCAAGCACTTTCCTCTCTTTGATATTCTTTTTTATTAGATTTTTAAGCTTCTTTTCCAATCTCTTCCTCTTAAGTTCCAATTCTTTTGCCTTCTTTTCAAATACATATTCAAACTTCTTCTCCAAATTCTTGACAATATTTTTCAATTTCTGTTCTCTTTTCTTCAGGATTCGCTCTTGGCTTCTCTTCCTGTTCGAATGCTTTCTCATTTTGTTTTCTAATATTTCTCGTTTGGATTCGATATCCTCTCGTTTTTTGTTTTCATACAGCTCAAAATCACCGAGCTTCCTTTTAAGTTCTTCTTCCTTTTTCCGTATTTTATTTGACTGGTGACGCATTTTATTTTCAAAACTTTCATACCTTTCCTTCAGCTTTCCTTTTTTTGTTTCCAACCTTGATGAGGAAGGGTTCTTTTCAGCAATTTCTATCTCGCATTCTTTGAAACCTCGCTTCCTAAGAGAGAATACATTTGGTCCCAAAATTTCCACATCCATCTCATGAAAGTCAATAGGCTTTGGAGGGCTGTTATCAGATTTTTCCGGTGGCATGTTTGCATCTCCCTTAGACTGCGGAGGTAAATAGCTGACGTCTTCATCCTTTTCAACTGAATTCTCGTTAGAGCGTTTAGAATGTGGTATAGCCTCGCAATACTCCTTCGTCATGACATCATCTTCATGCAAAGATTTCTGGGTCCTCTGCTGCTCGTCTTTAAACTTGAGTGATCCAATGATGTTACTCATTGAGAACATTTTCCTGAACCTTCGCCACTTAGAGGACAATTTTCCTTTTGAATCGCCGCTGTTCTGTCTACCTTGGTGCGGTTTTTTGTCCCATTTCTTCTTCACTTGTTCCCAGAATCCGTCCATTCTTCTGCTGAACCCAAACAGGCTGCTTCCCATTCGGTCACTTACTGCTCTGACCGGGCTTAAGACTCTTTTCCAGCACATCTTTGCACTGCTAGCAATGCGGGCACTTGTTTCCGACTTCAGCAACGCCGTCATATTTAACTCTGGTATGTATTCTGTCAGTAGCCCAGCACATGCTTTGAAGGTTACATTTGTTTGACTGACCAAGGAGAGATTCTTTTTAGCCTCAAGAAATTGCACTTTCAAGTCTAGGTACTTTCTTCGCCACACTGAAGCACGCATTTTCCACCATAGTAGTTCCTTCTGGACATTTGATCGGTTCTTGTGGTTAACTTGATCATTGCTGGAGTTCAATTTGATGTCATTCAGATTCTTCATCTTCTTCGAGAAAAGCAGAATCTAGAATAGAAAAAAAGAGATACATCAGAAAAGATACTGAAGAATTTACCTGCCACTATTTTCGAATAATTCTACCTACAAAAGGCACTGTGTGTCATGTCCTTGCTATAATACATAAATGAATCCCCCAAGTGTTAATGTTTTCTTGTCTTTTGGGCATAAATTTTGTGCAACTGCTGCTATCTTGCCATTTGCTTTTTATGCTAAACTTGGCTCTTTATGGGAACTCACTGTGACTAAAGATAAACAAAAGCAATTTAAATACCTGCTTTTGGATCTGGTACTGTTGGCCAAGGTAGCTGTATTTTCTCTGCAGCTGATGATACTTAACTTGCATTTCCTGGTATGCCAGGCGAACATCAAATGCATCCTTCTGAGCATCTTCATTCTTCAACATCTCTTTCACTAACATTTCATGTTTCTTGGTTGCATCATCATCAACAGTGGTTTTTCTGGAATGCAAGTGCGTGGGAGAGGGAACAGCTGGAGCATCTAATGAAGCAGTGTTTTCTTGGCTGTACATCTGTGAGAGGCACATTAGACCTAAAAGGTTTGTTAATTTTATTAAAGACATAATCAAACAGGAAATTGTGTAACAGATTTGGTGTTTTCGTGGAGCTATAGCTTAGGGAAGCAAACTAGGCTACAGTGTACTCTGCTTTACGTCATTCAGCTTAAAGTCACACTACCATTAACAGTCACATAGAATTTAGGAGCAAGTAAATTAAACTGTTCATTTAAGCTCTGTTTACAGTCACATTTTGCTCACTGTTACAGCCTTACAAGCAAAATTTGTTGTGACCATGACCTTGATGACAGCGCAATAAATTCCATTAATGGTCATTAATGACTATTTAAAAGAGGAAGCATCTACTCAGGTCAGTTATAAAAACACCCACAATGTATTGCTTTGAACAATCTAAAGAACCTTTCCCTACAATGTAAGTCAAAACACTTACCTTTTCCTATGATAAGTCCTGTAGATACACTCAAACACAGAAGAATGATAAACATTGATGTGCTCAGAACAATTCCATCATCAGTAACCTTGGTATCGTTTCTATGATTGTTGTTCTTGAAATTGTTAGAAACATCATCCAACTTTTTGAACAATGCATCTAGATCAAACTGAACTCCAGTAACTTGCCCATTGTCCTTTCCAAAGAGGAGGTGCAGACCATCATATTCATTTTCTGATTCACTGTCAGAACCTTCTGGTTTATCTTCTGCTTCATTTTCAAGAAACAAACCTGGAGATATGCATAATATAATATGCATTAGGTGCATTACTTACAGTGTTACTGTGCACTGAAGGCAATTATCAAAGCAGATTAAGCTTCCAACTTTATAGACATTGCCAAAACTTGAAGCATTGCTCAAATCTGTAAATTTTTAGTTTGTACCTTTTTTCACTAAAAAAGTCAAATGCATTATAGCAAAGATTTCATTCTAATTTAGCAACTTTTTTCTGGGTCAAGCCTTTATCATAATAGACTTAGAAATATTAAATTTTGAACATACTTGCAATGTCTTCAATGCCTTCAATTGAATTTGAAGTCAAGGTATCATCAAGTTGCTGAACTTTTTCATAGTCAGAATCACTGCTGTTTGCAGCATCAATCAAATCACTCTCAAGCAAAGACCAGTGGCCATTTTGCATCGCATTATGATCATCATAACTTGATTCGACGATTTCAATACTCTCTTTATCATCTGTATCACTGGCACTGAAAAGGTCTTCTAAAAATAAATTGTTGAAGAAGCAGGTCAGAATGTTACAAGCTTACTTACTAGTTAATGGAGAGTTACATTTTTGTCAGGGACAATTGGCATTTCACAAATAATGCTGTTAAATAATCTAGTTTACTCCAGATTCAAGTTTATGGAAATGCTAGAGCAAGAAATTTATACAAGCTCAATGCAAATTCATTTTGGTATTTCTAAAGACAAGCTGAAATTTTGCTCCATGCATACACACTTTTGAGCTACTCTGAACAGAATATTGACAAGTACCTTTTATTTTTGGGCTCCTTTTCAAAACTTCAATATCAGACCCATCATCTTTCATTCCATCAGCAAAATGATCCTCTTTGATGAAAATACCCTTAAATTGTACCACATCATGAGCCAAGCCTACCATATTACCTGGCTTTGCAAGGACCTCAAAGTCTTGATCAGAGTCAGACTCTCGTCCATTCTTGGCCAGTGCCTACAAAATAAATGATACACCCATGGAACTAAGAGGAAAATCATAAAAATCTTGTTCACATTTGGAAATCCCTGGAAATATTTCTGTTTCCATGGAAATCTCACCCGCTATTTACAAAGACAGGGCCCAAGCCACCGGAAGGCAGGGTGGCAATGGCCCCCCACTTTTTTGTGAAGCAAATAGTTTTGAAGCTGTAGTATAAGGGGTAAGAAGCCTTGGCCCTCTACTTGTTAGCCTTGGCCCTCTACTTTTTTTGCTTTGGCCCCCCCCCCACTTTCAAATTCGTGGCGTGGGCCCTGAAATATACAAATTAAGTATAAAAAACTAAAGCACATCTTTGGCATACTGTTAAGCCTGCTTAGGCTAAAACTTTGGTGCATGTTTTTATATAGGAGTAGACAGTTTATGAAAGTTTCCTTGTTTATCTAAAATGACAGAAAAGTAGGTTAAACATTCAGATGGACAAATAATTCGGAAATTCTTGACGGGCAGGAAGCCACAGATTAACCTTGGAACAACATTAAATTTTGACACTCAGTGTATCATAATTCATATGCAACTTCATAGCTTCATAGCTTAGAAAAATCACGCTGGACATTAAATCCCAGTTCATTCAAAATTTAACTAAGCCCATAATTATTAATCAATGAACGCTCTAGCTCAATTCACAAATGTCAAAACATAACATTAATTCGCAATGGGGCGTTTAGATATTGAATGATGTAACCTGAAAAGCGAGTCACAAGAGTTGGAAAACTTGTATCTTAAAATTAAATGTACTGAACAAAATATGAAAAATTTGTTGTATTATACTCACAGTTTTTTAACAGCGTTGTGTCTGCTTGAATTTTTTTTAGCGTTGGCAATGTTTTGTTGACAAGAATTACAGCAATACAGATTTAATTAGGCATATTAATATGTACTCTCCTAATCCTAAGCAACTATGCTGTTCATCAGAAATATATATTAGTAAATAATAACTGTCATATATGCCAGAGACAATAAAATTAAGATATGATCAAAGTCAGTCGAGGTCAGTCAAACGGCCTAATAAAAACAGGACAGCCCAAGTTTAGAGCATAGGACGAATATTAACAACAATTACCAGGAAAATTAATTAAAGCACGGTTATTCCTAGCACAAATGTACTAAACAGAAGCTATTTGCTAGATTCATTTCATATTTAAGCTTATAAAAAGGATCAAGTAGGGAAACGGTTTATGGTCTTAAATCCTTTAAATACCGAACCAAGCTCCGTGCATTCTACTTACTTAGTCCATCAATCGCGAAAATTTAAAAAAACTTACCTCAACTGAGCCGTGTTCATTAACAAATGTCCAATCTTTATCGTTTTTGCTCATCTTAAATGAATTTTAATGGCCAAATTCTGCACAATCTGCCTTCCAAGGCACATCTAAACTAAGTTTGATAACGCCGCTGGTGTTGTTATTATGCCGAACTTTGTTTAGTCACGTGACAAGCACCGCAGTTTCCTAATTGTCACGTGACATTGTCCTAATTGTCGCGTGATTTCAATGTTTGGACGATTGACTTGATGAACATTTTGCAGTTCCGTATTTTTAAATTCAAGAGTAAGATTCAGAGAGATTCAGTTTCCTTTTAGTGTAGACCCTATCAAAACCCTAAACAATCAATTAAAACCAAAATGCTTTCTAAATTTTGCCCGAGTTCCAGATCCCTGACTGGCAATAAATTTTTGACAATTAGTCAAAAAACACTTAGAGCCACTCCCCAAATAAAATATTTACCCTAACTCCCGGTGCCTTAGACCCCGTTTACGCGGTGCCGGATAAATTTTATCCGCATCAAAATTAGCTCAGATAGGCGTCGCGTTTACACTAGACCCACGCTATCTGCACGAATTTGAGAGCGGTTATCCGAACAAAATTAGTTTACCTAGGAAAGTGGATTAAATTAGTTCGGATAGCTATGTGGTACAGTGTAAACGCTTTTATCCGGATCCTTTCGCCATCTTCTCGATAAATACTCGTGTTAAAAGTGCAGTATCTTACCAGTCCACCAGAAGCGGACTGGCCCACCGGAACATCGGGAAATTTCCCGGTGCGCCCTCTGCCTAGCCTGTGTTCCAGACCCCCCTACCCCCCTAGGGGTCTGGAGCACAGGCTACCTCCGCCCCAAGTTTTTTTTTCATAAACATGAAAAATTTCAAAAGGCAACTAATCTTCGCACAGAACTAAAATTGATTACAATCATCAACTGTCCAAAGTACGTTTGCATAAAAAGTTTAGCTTCGCCTTTAAGTTGAGCAATATTAAGATTGATAAAGAACATATTTTGCTTTGAAAATGACTTTGAAGAAAGCAAATATTTTAAACATGCTAGAAGCTTTTTTGCCTGAACTCCTCAGGGTATAAAACGTCTTGTAATTTTGGTTAGCTTGTAATTTTTTCAAGCAAGTGCACAATACTTGAATTAATTCGATTTCTGTGGAGGGGGTAGTAGGGATTTTCACTAGCTACCTAGCAGACTATTGACTGATGACTAATAATTTTGTGAAACCAATGACTTCTGACTAACAATATTAATTTTTTGACTTATGGCTAATGCAACTTAATCCTAGTGCCTGATATCCAATAACTGAGGGCTCGCACTTTGAAAAAAAATTAGCTGAGCACTACCCTGTGCTCTTTCTAATCAGAATGGCTGTAACTGGATGAAATTATCGATGTGTTGGCTATTGGGTATGGGAACGTTCACATATTATGTAATCAAAGATGGGAAGGGGGGATTTACACAAATGTTATGGCTATTTAATTGTTTAGTTAGAAGGGGATTTTTCAAATATTGCCGATTTTTGATTTCGTAATATGTGCATATTCCTTGTGTTGTCTCTCTTGAATAATAGTCCTTTTTTCTTTCGGCCATCAACTATCGTTTAATAGTGAAAACTGCTCTAGGTATGATAGAGGACAATACTTCCTGTCCGTGGCAAGCTATTATGTTTTGCAATTCAACTAACAACTCATAGGCATCCTGCTTTTTGTACGTTAAACCCAGGAGTTTTGTACCAAAAGAAATTATCACTAACTGGAGTCAAGAATCTTGACCACTTCTTAAAAATATTTATACAGAATTTGTTGAGGATTGATGCCCTCATGTAAGAACCTTCTAGAATATTTAATGGAAATTGGAAAGTTAAACCGGCTGTTTTGAAAAAAACTGGTTTCAAATTTACAACTAGCTATTAAAGTTTTCCAAGCTTTCTTCAAATTCTTGTCCCGAAAAGGAACTGTGCCTTTTCTTTAGAAATTCTTCATCCTTTCACTATTTCTTCGCACAGTTTCTCATAGAGAGGGAGCCTATCAATCTGCAAAATCATCAATTTGCACAAAAAGGATGGCAGCAAGTTCTATTAAAATCCATTTGTCCAAGATATGTTATCAGATATCTTTCAGACAAGTCTACGGTTTTGAGCACATGTTCAATACCTGATCATAATTCCGCACGCTGATGAACTGGAATCATATCTTTTTTAAATGATATGTAACTGTAGCGTGGAGGCAGGGGTAACATAGTCATTAGGCTAGCAGGAGCTGAGGCACCCCTTTACATTTCTCAATGATATGCTGCAAAACTTTCAAAAGATTTTATGTTACCGTTTGATGAGAACGAAGTCATATATTTCGTCAAATTTATAAATATTTCGAGATCGAGTTTAATCGAAAACAATCTCATCTCCTAGGCCAGAGAAGCTGCTTTCTTTAAAGATCTTAGAAGGGAGTGTCTCGCTAACTGAAAAACGGGCTTTTGGTTTGAGTCCAACTTTCAAAATCTATCATTTGATATCATATTTTCGTTTGATACATAGAACTGAGGACAATACGTCATTTGATACCTACAAGTTTTACCAGCCGTGTAGACGTTTCAAATACAGTCAATTTGACAGAGAGTCTTCTTCATGCCGATACCAATTGTGGATAAAGAACTTTGATTTTCAACATGGGACATGTTCCGACATTCTAAATAGGTTGTTTTCAAAAAGATTTTCTGGAGGCAAGCCCCTGAGCCCCCGTTTCATTTCCCACCTAGTTCTCTCATTCTGTTGTCCATTGCAAAAGTTTTAAGGATGAATTATGACAATGTTTGCAACAAACTGATTCTCAGTTAAGGCACAATTTTTCGGGGCCCGTTTTACAAGCCCCAAAAATAAGTAACTCTAACACCTATTGGCGTCCTTTTGCTTGCTTTTCCGATGGGTCGAAGGGTAGCCAGTCCGCCACTGCAGTCCACGTAAAATTGGCATCCTTGTCAGCTTTCCCTACTTTCGTTGCTAGTTTAGTGTCATTTTGTTTCAAGAACAAACCGTTAAAACAAACTAGGTCTAATTTGTATTGACAGTATCTTTGGATTTGGTCTAAAAAAGAGAAGCAGATGATTCTAAGGAGAGAATGAAGTCTTTTTACGTTGGCGGGAATTTTGTTGTTATTTTGTTGCCCAGAGAAGACTTCATTTTGGGCGTTCTGTGTGCATGATTTAGGTCATGTGACTGCAGTTATCGGGCACAGTGTAAACAGGAGGGCAAAGTCGACGAAATTTGTGCGGCACAGTGTAAACGCAAATCAATCCGAAAAAGTTTTATGCGGATAAATTTTATCCGGCACAGTGTAAACGGGGTCTTAAGCTATCCTGGAGTGAATTATCGATTAAGCTCGATTAAATTATCTTTCTCCTTATTAGAGGGACGCTTAAAAGAGGGGGCTTTATGATCTCGGGGTGGGTTTGGTCAACCAGGTTTCGGGTTTTTCTGAAAAAAGAGCAGAATTTCGGTTTTGAATATTGTTTTTTTTCAAATTTTTTATTCGGATTTCTGGTTTTAGTAAAACTTCCTTTCGTGAATTTGTTTAAAAAAACATTCATAAAACACTTTCCGGATACCTTACAGGGCCTTTCAATTTTTTGTCCAGCCTCGATATTCTTAAGAAATTTGATTTTGAGCTTTCTTATGTTTTCAAATCCGATATGATTTCAGGAGAACATTGTTCACTCTCTAAAAGAAAACACGATTTTTGAAAAGAACAGAAAAAGACATAAATATACTATGTGAGGCTGGGCAATATTCTTATGATGTTCTTAAAAACTTGATTATAAACAGAACTGGATTATAAGAAGAATATTCTTATAAAAATATATTATAAGCAGAGACATCAAAGCTGGAAACTACTCAAAGAAACACTTGATGCACTCGTTGCATATTTTATGAAAGTTTTTACAGCAAATGAGTGAAATTGAGGCTCTTTATTATTTGCAGTCATAAAAATATTCAAAATTCAAAAGTCCCTAACAGATTTTGTCTTTAGTGTAAAGGAATATCTGTAAATTTTTCACCGAAAACGATTTAATCAAAGACGTAAAGAAGCATTAGAAAACTGGAAGAGTGTCATCGGCTTAAAGGAGCACCCTAACAAAGATTCTATAAGGTTATACAACATGCTCTAAGGGGCACCTTAACAAAGATTCCAGAAAGGTTGAGGAAGGCTGTTTCTGGAAACAGAAATCTTTGGCGACTATGCTTTTTAGATAAGCTAAAAATACCTATCAGAATTTTTTTGCAGTCATTTTCTTGCATTCGTTTAAAACATTGTTAATTTTTTCAGGATAATTTTGTTAGTCAAACTAATTGCTTCATAAAAACCTAAAGGCCACAAGGAAATTTGTCACCATTCGGCAGACCGCTGTGCGTTTTCAAGGGGAAATATTTTAGATCATGGCCCCAAAAGGCCACCCCCCCCCCTATTCTCTGTGCTCATTTTCTATAGCGACTAAGCATTTCAAGGGGCACTTTTTGGTTATGCAGTTGGCAAAAAGGGCAACCTGGTTAACTGCAAAATGGCATTTTCTTTAGATTATTTACAAGTAGGGGGGGGGGCACATGTCCCCAGTGCTCTCGGTTCCTACGTCTATGCTTTTAAAGAAACCTACTTGTTAGGTACCTGATCTTAACTATTCCATGTAAAGGTTCTAATTTTTTTTAATAACACTATGTAAGAACGCTTTGAAAAGACTTTGTGTTAAATCTTTAATCCTCAATCCTAAATCCTAAAGAGATTCAGTATGGAAACAGCGTAACCATTATGTCATGAACATTTTGATCAATGTAATAAATTGCAAACAACGCAAAAATTTAAAATCCACATCAAAAACTGAACTGTTCAATTCTTTTAGTTTATGTCCTTGGTAATAACATCTTAACCAAATAGTTATCTTCAAGATATATTTATGAAACAACCCAGCTAGTCCTTGCAACAACCCAGCTCTTCCGAGAATCCTGTTTAATTTTTTTTTATTTGAGGTGAGCATGGGCCCTTTTGAAAAATGCCCCACCACCCAAAAGCCCTTAAAAAATGCCCTGCTATATTCTTTCACTCCGTTTCTGCACGCTGTCAAGCATAGAAATGAGGCTAAAACGAGGCTAAATCAAAATTTCTTCAATTTTTTGCTGTAAAGTTTTCTGAAAACAAGGACACCGTGAATACTCTAACAGTTAGAATCATGCTTGGGGGAAGAATTCCTCCTTTCAATCAGCTTTTATTCGCTACCATTGTGGGCATAGCTAGTGGCGTCTACATTTTCCAACCATCATACTTCATCCAATTTAGAAACAATTATTATACAAAACAGCCAACGGATGGGGAAGAGCCTAACCAGACAACGATGCAGGAGAGAAATTGAGAAGCATGTTGTTATAGCGACTGATTTTGCCTGCGTATGTTGTGAAGGGTAGCATCTGAGGACCCTGCCATTCTCACACAAAAAGAGAACTATTGATGTTTGTTTCTGACCAGTACTGTTGCTGTTTGTTTCTGACGAGAATTTCTCATAATTTCAAATTCTGTAGACGAGGCATATAATGGGAACAGAACTAAAATGACTATTTTGTAACCTAGCTTTTAAAAAGCCTGCAAGGCACCAGTTTCAGTCTTACTCCATTTTCCAAGCAATTGCTGGCATATTAAACAGTGATCTTTTTTATCAAGGAACAAAAAAAGGATCATTGTGTTGTCATAACTGTTGTGACATCAATATTGACTGCTCTATCATTATTTCGTTTTATGTGAGATTGGAGTGTCTTATACCCTGCGTGCTCATCAAAAGATGGACCAGTATCCTGAATAGAACAGAATTACAATTTTTGTTTGAAATTTTAAAGGTGTTTATTTTGAAGGTGACAACAATAACTTTTTCAGGATTTGTGTGATACCCATAATGTAAAGCATGTTTTCATTTAAAACAAAAGACAAATAACTGTCAAATAATGGTTCCAAGGACAGAAGAGCCTATTACAGTTTGAGGGGGCTAAAGCATAAAAATGCTAAGGCCCCCATAGCCCCCCTGTTTTTACAGTCCCTGGTTGGTTATTCAGTATAAACAGTTTGATCTGTACTCATTACGTCAAAATTTTATACAGTCTTTGACATTAAGTGGGATATATCTTTTTGTTAATTAGTAGTTTAACCATAACTGATTTGATATTATCTCATATTATTAAATATTTTTATGTCTAAGTAATATCAGCTGATTTACTGTGATTGCTATAGACTAAATTGGTAGTGTGAGTAAGCAACCACATCAATGTTTTGTGCACTACACTCGTGGTCAGTTGTGTTAATCTAAGTGCATCCTTACATAAATACTTATTTTTTTCTTATTTTAACCCTTAAGCTCTGCAAATCATTTTATTTTCAAACTGTGTTGTTCTTTATCGTTTTGCAAATTCTTGCTTAGTGTTTATTTGCTATTATCATCACAAGATTATGTAGATCTCTTCTCAAATAGAAAGCCTAAAAGCATATTTCCCTTTTGACATGATTATAGTTAAGTCTCTAGTTTTGAATTTGATTTTCAGCAGTGACTTGTCATAAATACATTTTTAGCTAAAGTTGCAACTTTTTTGATAATATTTGCTCTTATGTACTATTCTCTTAATTTTAAGTCAACGGAGCCCTTATTCCAATGTTTTTTGTCTGTATTAACACCTACTGTTCCTTTACAGAAAAAGATGTATTTGTTTTGTTAGATATTGAGTAATTGAAGCTTGTATCCCTTCTCAAATAAACACATAGTTATGTTGCTTTGAAACAGAAAATCTCAGAACACAATGGAAGATGTACTGCAGTCTTTTGGAGAAAAGTGCCCTTATCTTTTTGAAAAGGTACCCCTTTTTAAGTGCCCTCATTTGAACTTTTGGAGAAATGCACGGCTGTTTTTGAGACATAAAGCCCTTCCTTATCTACACCTCTCCAACTTTGTAGTACTTCTGGCACCTCAAGTTTAAAATCATAACTTATTTGATGCTCCTCTGGTGAATAAATTACTCGGAGAAGGCAAATTAATTTTGTCACCAAATGAATAGAGTCATCATTCCATGGATATATGCATTTTCAATTAAAGAGAGATTGAAAATATGATTGCAACACAAATTTGGAAAAGGGAGTGGGGCAAGAGCTGATATCAGGCTTATAGTAAAATATTGTGTCATTTTGCTCTGTAAACAAGTGAAGTTGAGGCATGTTTTTTCTCATTCTGATTAATGCAAGTAAAAGCAACATCCATTGCTTAAAAGGATGTAAATTCCCAATTAGCAGCTTTTTAAACATCCAGTATCATTTTGCAACTGCGCAGGCAGTGGCTAAGTTCCTAACGTATTTCTCGGCTTGTGATAAAGTGCTCGGTGACGTATATAGGCAGAGCTCTACACTCTTTTTGGTGTATAGAATAGGACTGTTATATGTGTTACTCCGAGTTTCACGCTTAATGCGATCATCAGGAAACTTTTCTGTTATACCTATTTGTACAAAGAAGTATATTTCTATGACACCAACATCACTCTTTGGAGCTCGATTGAGTGGCACCTAGAAATCGAATAATACGCGATTAGAGGGATGAGCGATTACGAGTTTGAGAATAGACAGATTCTTTGGAAAAGTTTGATGTTTTCCAGACATTTTATTAGCATCTACAATTAAGCCATTTAAGATCAGCACTGGACACTGATGACAAGTTTGATAGATCTCATTTTACCTTGAACTGAGTCTATAAACTTTTGAAAAGATTTAATATTGACAGATGCTCATCTTCTTTGGTAAATATCAACTATTCTTAAGGATTCTTGTCGTTTTAATAGACGATTAGAAGTAGCTGTTGATACACTTCGAATCCTGATAGAGACGTCTAATTTACAGTCACTGTCTTGGCGATAAATTATTCAATAATCCCACACTGTGGTATTTTCTTGATTTTGAATGCGTGAATCTAGTTTGTCTCCGAAGTTTATTGCCATCAATACTGTAACCTGCTTTTTGTGGCTTAATCACATATTCAAATACTTGTGTCCTTCTGATTAAAACTATTTTCCGTTACCATACAAACGAATTTTCGGGAATATTTTGTAAACAGGCCGTACTTTTCTTGTGAAATTTCTATCCTGCTGCTGATATCAAATTGCTTTAAGGATTGAACAGGCAATAGAAAAAAGGTAGATATGAACATTTAATATAATGTATTTTATTAGAAAAAGGTATATCTATTTCTCTTTGAACTTGTTAGGGTCTCCGGAAGTGAAGTGAGAAGTGAGAAGCCTCTCCAGGGTTTGAAATGCGATTGAATTATATGTAGTTAAAGGCATATCTGATGAATATGTCTTGTATAAAAACATGAAATTAAGAACCTCCATGCTTATGTCGGATAACGGCAGGAACATCAGAACATTTGTAAAAATATTCCATTGACATTACTAAACACCTCTTTCCTCACACTAAACAATATGTCATGAGATACAGAGAGTGTAAAACTGAACCCAATGCTACTTGCAAGTTAACGTTTTGCTACTCAATGCTACTTGCCATTTTGCTACCCAGTTCAATTTTGAATCCCTCTAGCTTTGTGTAAATTGAGATGCTAGGTTTTTAGATTAGCGATTAGAAGCTTGTTGCTGATAAATTAGTCATGAAAAGATTTACAAATTTTGTATTAACTTTGACGCGAATATATATGCCTGTCCTTGGAGGATTCTTTGAGGCTGAGAATTAAGCTAGATGATGCTGGGTTCTTGCACACAGGAAAGTAACTTTGAAATGCATTAATTTTACCACAAACTGCCCTCGTCTAGTATAGCTCTTGTAACATGAGCAACAGCAGAGTCGTTTCTTTTGCCTTGTTGGTTTTTGAACTCAAGTAAATTTGTCTACATATCCAATTGGTCTTGATTTCGTCTCAATTATTATTTGTTTTCTTTTTTTGTAGATCAATTGAAGGCATCAAACTTTAAAGGATATAGATGCATAATCCTAGGAAAAATGACTGTGCAATATTGTTTGCTGGTTGCGCTGCTGCAGTTAATCTGTCACAGTCAAATACATGATGCTCACGTGCATCATCTGAGGATTGGCGCCCTTTTGGATCAATCAAACAAGACGCTTGCCAAAATTGTTCACGGAGCAGTGGATCTAGCCGTCAGGAGCATTAACGAAGATGTGGCCTTTAAGAATGTATTTTCACTGGATTACGTCATCGGTGAATCAGGCTGTACTGGAGAGAAATCTACTGGCGAGTTCGCTAGGCTTAAATACCGGCACCAAGTAGATGCAATTGTTGGCCCGTCATGCGACGAAGGCTGTAAAGCCGGCGGTTTCTTAGCAACTTATCATAATGTGCCAATGCTGTCACATAGTTGCAGCACTTCACAGATGAGCGATAAGGTTAAGTACCCAACGTTTGGCCGCTTGAAGGCGTACGCGAGTGCCTCTCCGCTCACAACTACCAATGCTTTAGTGATGTTTTTTGAAAACATGAATTGGAAGAAAATAGGGATTATCCATGGGAATGGAGAGAAATGGTCCAGTGCTGCAAGTACAATAAAGTATGGCCTAGAGAAAGCCAAAATAGAGATTGCCGTTTCTGCTGAATATCTGTTTGGCCACACAGCGTCGTCAGCTCATGCAAGCATGCAGGCAGTAAAGAGGCTTGATGTTAGAAGTAAGTGGTTCTGCTTTTGTGTTTTGCATTTTACCGCTGTTGTAAAATGATGAAAAAACTAATTGTTTTGTAAACTGTAAAATAATTTAAAAATTTTTAATCTTCAGAATTCACGATTAGCCTGCATTTGATACATCTATCTTTGTTTCTATTACTAATTACGATTTAATACATAAATATATGTATTGATTTACGTACTGTCATTTTTCTAACCAGATTTTAAATCTACGCATTCAATTGTCTGTAGGTGGAGACACTTACTTTGAATATCGTATAATAAACCTTTTTTCAGTCGTTCTGCTTCTGGTTGAGGGGGAAGACGTTATGAGGTTAGCAGAAGCCGCCCAGCAGCTTGGATTGTATAAAGGGAAGAATGTATTTTTGTCTTTGGATTTCTATACTTGGGAATCGATGCCAAACTGGATGTCAAAGTATCCTGCAAACCTACTTGAAGGGTGGCTGGACATCTCAACAAAATCTATGTCAAGCAGCTTTATCGTCAACGTGGAACATGACAGATTCAAGAACGAACTGCAGATGCGACTGTTAAAGGACCCTTTCTACATCCAAGTTGCAAGTGTGAGTACTGAAGTTTGAAGCGTTGAAAAGCTTGCTTTAAATTCGTGCCCGTCATTTATTCCTTGAACCCTAACTATATAATTAATACTGAAATTCCTGGTCCTAGCCTCTTTCAATTGGTTTTTCCCTGGCCTCTTTCCTCGATTGAGATGTCTAAACTTGACCATGCCTAGCATATTAGACATATCCAATGCATCTTCTACTCGTCCACTCGAGGATCAAAGAAGGCGTAAAGCAGAAAGAGTTGAAGACTTTCTGAATTGTCTGGATAGATATGCAATCACTAGTTAGCGCAATCTTTAAACCAGATCTTCAATCAATTAAAGTTTCCTTTGTCTTGCTACCGTACCTCGAAAAGAAGTTAGCAATTTTGGTTTAAAGTCGTCGTATCCATAAAATAGTAATTCATTTCAAAATATACCCGCTTCAATATTTTAAATACAACATTATTATTGAGCATGGATCCTAGACAAAAAACAAAGTAAGAAAAATAAGTTTTTTCTCTGTCCAACCCACTATTGTATAACTATTTAAAAATAATGTGTCGAGTACAACTGCAAAAAGATTTTAATGAAATTACTGAATAAGCTAATGTAAATGTAACTAATAATGATAATTTTGGTAGACTTTCTTAATGATGGAAGTGATTTTAGGAAAGAAGATAGCTTAAAACATGTTCACATTAACATATACCTCAGAATACCTCATTTTTTCCTGAGCCATGATCTTCTTATTTTCTTATAAAAAAGTTCCTCTGAAATGACAGTGCTTGTTTTTGGTAAGAACTGCTTTCCTACAATTCGATCACATTACATGCAATGTATGTATGTATGTATGATCTTAGTTCGGTATAATATCGAACACCACTGTTTTGTCTAGATTCACCAGCATGCATTTTACATCCATGATGCCGTCTACACTTATGCGAAAGCTGTGAAAAATGCCCTTCACAACTCCTATATTGATCACGTGGTTTTCTCCATTTATGATAACATCACCAATACTTCAAATTTGTTGGCTTCAAGAAACATAACTAACTTCACCACTGGTGACGTCAGAAGCAGTATATGGCCAGGGAATGACGATGCAATGAAAGAACTGCGGAACTGGACGATGACTCATCTGAATTTTACATCCATCAATAACACATACAATGAAAGTACATGGCTGAGGGATGGAAAATACATTGCAAGAGAGATATTTAAGATCGACTTTAATGGTGAGTTTGTTAAACTGCACATATGAAAACAAGACTATATCTCAGCGTTCAATTTTTCTACCTGCCAGTCAATTAGATTTTGAAGCACAACTGTTCAGCGAAATCTTTAGAAGAGATTCGAAAGGATCTTTAGGAATCAAAGCTTCATTCCGATTATCAAACAACTTAACTCGTTCAGTTTACATCTCTTTCACAAACATGCTGTAACACAAGGCTCCGTACTAAAGCCACTTCTTTGTCCGGGTAGCTGAGTTGGTAGCGGAACGACGCAAAGTAACCTTGGTGGCAGACTCGAGTCCTGCCCTGCTCTTTTCACTGGCTCAAATTTTCTCTTAGATAATTTTACAAATCCTGTTCTACTATAATTTTAATCGTTGCAGAACGGCTGTAGATAGTTGCTCGTATATGCTGTTTTCCGTGAAAACCAATTGATTCTCAACATGTTTGTGAACAAAACTTTCAGTAAGGGAAGATGAACATCGAAGAATCAAATAACTGTCCTTAACATTCGTATATATCTTATTCAGTCAGGGTTAGATGCTTCCGAAGCCTCTAGTGATGGACCCTGCCTCAATGATTACGGCTTTATGCAAGCATTTTCTTTATTTATAGGCGTTTCTGGTCCCGTCAAGATGAATGGCCGCGGCAACCGGGTCCCAATTCTCATTGTGAGAAACTTTCTGTCACTCAACAGCTTTATCGAAGTGGCGAGTTATGATGGCACGTCAAGCGAATTTAAGATTATCTCGTATGACTTTACTTTTGCTGGAAAGTCAAAGGATATTCCACCTGATCAAGCAAAATGTGGCTTCAAGGACGACCCTTGCCAGAGTAGGCCCTTATTTTTCAATTTATCTATATAGAGAGAATTTAAGAATGCCCTTTGTAAAATTTGGTGTACATGAACTAAAGCATTTTGCAACTATTTTCTTTTGTAGTCTTATTTTGTACGTTCTTTTTTGCTACCTATTTTCACAGTTATACCTCGCTTTTCTCAAGTGACTTTAGACTTGTATATTTATTATCATTATATATGTATACTGTAGTTTAACAGCTAAGTGTTCTTATATTAGATTTCTATTTGCATCAAACTCAAGTCTTATAATTTATCGTTAATGCAATTCTCCCAGTTGTGTAAGTGTCAGAAATCATAAGAATGTAAATGTCAATAATGATGACAGTACATCTCTGTCAATATAACGTTATTACTAACAATCATAAGGTAGAAGGTATGATTGACGGAAAAAGAGACAGGGAAAGACAAAGAAGAACATGGGGAGACGATGTCAAGGAATGGAGCGGGTATGGGCGCATTGGGAGAGCTAAACGATATTCTGAGGATAGGGATAGTTGGAGGGTCATGGTAGCCAACCTTCTGATAGAAGATGGTACCTGATGATGATGACTAACAATCACCACATGAAAGTCACATGACAAGGCCCCTGTTTAGGATAACCCAATAGCAGTAAATTTTATTAGCGTTAAAACAGTGGTATTCAAAAAGCATTTTTGCAAGCTTTTACAACTTATTTGTCCGTTCTGATTTTCTAGTGGTTTTTTTCATTTTTCAGAGGTGGCCGAAACATCAACATCGGCACTTTTGATCGCAATTTTTGCGCCACTCGCGACCGTGGTTGTCCTAGTTGTTTTGTACAAGAAATACAAGTGAGTTTTGCTTTATTATATCTCTTAAGTAGATAAATCAGTGTAGAAATACTAGGTTAGAGAGTTTTGCATTCTCATTTGGTACTCTCGACATGTTCCAGAATTTTAAATCGTTGGTAGTTTTAAGTCAGATTGAAACAGTGCATTGCTAAGGTGAAGGACGCAGATCTAATGATTGATGTCTTTTTCTACTATAGTGTCGTTTATCGTCATCTAGGTGAAAGTAAATTCTTTAAGACTTCTAGCAAATATACACGCTACTAGTGAAAGAAAACTAAGCATAATGCATATCCCTTCCTTCACCCAAGCATCAAAAGTTAAGTAGCTCATTTGCTCGTGATACTTTTGCAGCTCGTTGTACAATTTCGTCTATTTGTCTTGAAAACATGTGTTATTGATTATGTTATTATTTATTTCCATATGTTACTGCCAGTTTGTGTTGATAACCTCCAAATTTTATTCAATGCAGTTATATTTTGAAATATACGGACAAACTTTCACATTTAGATCAAATATAAACCTCGATCTCTAATGAAAAAGAAAGCTCCATAATTCAAAGAATTTTCAAAAGAAATCAAAGAATCTCAATTATTCAACCGTATTAAGCACTTTTATAACTATTTCTTTTTCTTTTTAAATTTGTCAAGCATCTTTCTATGTAATTGATTTAAACTGATCTAGTTTGGCTCTAATAAAGCTAGCGCCTTTGCTTACTTCGAGTAAAGGAGAAAGAAAATTCAAGGTCCCCAGTGTAGCGTTTAGTAGCCAGACACTCTGATACGAAGCGTTTAGTTATGGTGACCATGTGAATGAACGTAGGGAGTTTCCCCCTCTGTTGACATTTCGCTGAATATAATATCAAACAGTGTTAAGGTTTTTCTTCTATTTGAAGCCTTGTTATCAACGATCGATGAGATACTTTTGATATTTTGTTCTATTGACAAAAAGTTTGTTCGACCACACCCAAAAACCCTCTCTTCATTTAGTCTTTCTAAACCACGACGAGCTTTGTTAGCGATATTGTCCGCAAGTAGCTATAATTTTTTTATAGAAAACTGAATAATTAATATGAAATATTTTTGGTTACAGAAAACGAAATTTTGAGAATGATATTTTCAACAATAAAAGGTCGTTTTTGGACTATTCAGACTTGATCATTCAAAGAAGCTCGGTTGAACAAATGAAAGATAACCAAAGTTTGGACGATCTCGGCTCCTTACAGGTAGGCCGTCGTCTTTAAAAGGCCTGACGTTTACGGCAATCAGCTGACGTGAACGAATTCATATTGTTTACTATATATGTCATGCATCTCGGGGATGCCTACATATTTCTATTCAAGAATACCTAGATTTTTGCTGACCTTCATCCTTAAAGTACTCATGTTGTTTACTACAGATGTCATGGCTCTTGCAGATGCCTACACACGCTTTTTCAAGAGTATCTAAATTTTTGCTGAGCCTCATTTTTCATTTTTAAGCCTTGTGATTCCGAGCCTGAAATTATTAGTCATTCTTAAGAATAATTTCAACTTGTGAATTTGGTAAGAGTCGAGAAAGAAAGTTCTTGTCTTCGTCTTTTGTCATCATTAAAACAATTTCAGAATTAAAACTTGCTAGCAGATTTGAAATTAGACGATTGATCTCCAACTTTTTGCATGAAAGCAAGAATGAAAATCGAATAAATTGTCTTGCTTCCTCAAAATGCTCAAATAAATAAAAAGTCCATCTGCCGATGATATTGGTATTTATTCTCAATTAATTCTAAAATTTCTCCAAATTCGAACCTCATTACGCTTTTAGAATTGTTCTGATAAGAAGAAAAGTGTGTATGTTGCTTTGTTGTGTTCATTCAAATAAATTTTCTGTTTGTTTTACAGAATGACTCATTAAATGAAAGAGACGTGACAATGTCAACATCATCACGATTTTTTAAGGATCACATTAACGCATTTGTGGCGTTATACAAGGTGCGCAAAAGTATTTCCTCAACGCAACGATTGCTCTATTTGCAGACACTCCTTTCTGCATACTGAACTTTTTATTAATTTGGTTCGAAAGCAAATTCAGAAGGCCAATTTATTCAGTAATTTGCTTAGTTCAAACGATAAAATTTAAATAGAAAAGAGAACAACTCTTAAATTTCTTAGGTGTTTTCAAAGTCCTCTAACAAATTCTGTTATACCAACTGTATTTTTGAAAGCGTTTACAGAACTTAGACAGCATCCAAGGCTAGATAGATAGTGCCATTTTCCGTTTCGGCCTAAGATAGTAAGCTAATCCGAGCGTTTAAAAAGTTTCTCTAAAAACAATCTCGATCATGATTTCATAATTTTTCGTGCATTCTTTGTAAATCTTATTAACACTTCTGTTTTGACATCTGAAAAAATCATGCATTTATATTTCATATAATGAAGAAGATGTCATATATTCGTACTTTCTTGTGCTTGCGTTTTTCTGATTAACCTATTTCGATCCACAATTGGGTATATATTTTCCATCGTGTTCTCTCGGACCCTTATACTGATGTTTTATGCTCTGAGGAGTGTCAGAAGAAAAAGCTTTTAGCCAATACATTATAAAATGTTTGCTTTTTCAAAGCAATTTTCAGGTTCTACCGCCAAAAACCTGTTCACCTTCTAAGAATGAAATCCTGTATTACCCATGCAGCTATATATAAACTTGATATTCGGATTATCAGTGTTCTTCCGTTATTTCGACACCTTGTATTATATCTCTTGTTTTGGCAGCATCAAAATGTCTTTGTCAAGCGACTCCATAAGAGGCAAGTTCACTTGGATCGAGAGACGTTGCTGGAGATAAAGTTGGTAAGCAAATTCAGATAAAACATCAAATGTTCACAAGAAGTCTCATCATTGCTTTTTGTATCAAAGTTTCTTTGTCATGTAAACAAACCCTTCAGTTAACGGTATTGTGCCCTGCAGGGGCGGATCCAGAGCAAATTTGAAGGAGGGGCAGTTGGTAGTGGGGGCGCTGGAAAATTTTCAAAAACTGGTTACGAGCGTGCGCTGTATACGACAATTTCAGATACCTTTTCAGAATAAACAACATAACTTTGAGGTAATCCTTGAAGCAAATTAACCTATCGGTCCAAGAACTTTTTTCATCTGATTCTCATTCTTCAAAAGGGGCGCACAATTTCCAAAAAGGGGCGCCAGACTGTGATCCCTGTGTAATCAACTCGTTGGGAGAGGGGCTGCCCCTAGTTGTCCCCCCTTAAATCCGCCACTGGTGCCCTGTTCTTCTTGAAAAGACTTGCTTTCCCTTTCCAAATTTGCTTCTACGAAAGTCTTATAAAAAGTTCAAAGCGTGTGTCATCGAACTCTTACCTTCGCGTAGCATCTATTTATATTGCGGAGGAGATTGTAAGTGGAGTATAGATAATGCTTAATAGAGGACCTAATTTCCTCTTTTCTTGCCATCTCCTCCTCATTGTCAGAAATAATGTGTCTAGATATTCGTTTTACGCTTTCTAAATTTCAAAATCTGTTAGATAGTAAGTAATCTGCTAGTGTGATTAATTGACTTTTAAATAACTTTAAGAAATTACCATTTTAACGTCATCTTTAGTGACATGGAGCTTAATTTAAGTGGTTTTATAGTTTATTCTAAATCGGTGTAAGGATGTCAATAGGAAAGCCACAGTAACAAATTCTGCATAATTGAGCTTTTAATTCTAGGCACGTGATATTCATCATTCAAATGTCAATCCATATTTGGGAGTCGTTGTTCAGCCTCCAAGGATCTGCGTTGTTTCGCCGTATTGTACGAAAGGCAGTTTGAGGGTAGGTATTAGCGTTCATCACAATACTTATTCAATTATACGACCCACCGTTTATCCGGACTTCGATATTCCGGTCCATAAAATATATGATAAAACTTCAACCCGGGTCTAGTTGCGGGAAATGGCCACCAGAAAGCGTGAGATGCAGTAAGTTTCTGATTTATCCGCTGCCAGCCGATCAGGAAATTCCTGGAGTCAGAATATATATGTTTCGTTTCTTCGTCGCTTTTCAAAAATGGTAAAACTTCAGGTTTTGAAAATATACTTTATGCGTTCTGATCTAATTTTAGGACGTACTGGCAAATGAGGACATCACCCTAGACTGGGTATTTCGTATTTCTTTTGCTGGGGACATCGCCTCGGTAAGTTTTCGTAGTCATTCATATATTATGTGGTTTTTCAAACAATCTGACCAGAGGAAAAAATCCTCTAAGAATAATCCTCTAAGAAAATTTGTATGAATAAACATATTCAATGTCAATAGTCTTATACTTTGGCTGGTAGTTAAAAATCCTGTGAGTAATCAGGTTGTAGGCAATGCACACGAATTAATTAGATACTTCTTCAAAGAAAAATCTGACTCAGAAACACTTTAGATAGAATGTCATGGCTGCAAAGTTGATATTGAGTGCAATTTTACAACTGGATTATGTTTTTTTTATTTTAGGGAATGGCAGAGATTCATGAAATGATAGGACCCATGGGCAATCTGACATCTTACAATGTCTTGGTCGACAGAAGATGGACATGTCAGATCTCTGATTATGGGCTTGAGCGTTTTAAAGAGCCTACTCGACATCATGCGCCAACCCCAACTAACGAGGAAAAGTACCACAGTATGTTTCATAATAAGAACTTTCCTATACTGTACGACTTGTATGTGAATGACAATTGACGGTTACGGCATTCAAGTATCGATCAAACAATGTTACCAATCCAATAGTCAACATGTCTTTATCAAAGTCAGTTTTGTTTTGGCCATTACCCGTCCCTGTGCTAAGAAATATTGTTGCAATATTTTTGTCAAAACTCAGTCTTACAATTCCAAAAGTCTTTGTGGCTTGATTCTTGTAATGAGAGGATGTTTGTGTTGCTTTTTCAAGAAAATTTATTTTTCACGTTTTGAAAATATGCAACAAGCTCTTGCAAGTTTGATATGTTGACAATAATATCATACCACTGGTTTTTTATATCCAAGTAAATATTATCAGATAGTGCAATATACTATCAGTAAATTATCCAATATATCATTGGCATATTTCAAATATAGATAGATAACTTAGTTTTAATATGCAATTCAGTGCTATTAGAGAGTCCATTATATTATAAGCATATCATGCAAGATATTATACCCATATTGCCAATGCTATTAGATCACTGGTTTTTACCATCTAAGTCGATATTATTAGATAGACCAATAAATTTTTATCAATAAAGTTATCAAAGATATTATTAGCATATTAACAACAGTTCTAAACCACTTGTTTTTTATATTCAATTCAATATTATTTGATAGTCCAAATGAATTATTAGCACATTCTTAACGCTATTAGTCAATTAGGACAGTTTTGATATATTGTTGAGACCTGATCAAGTCATTATTGTGAACTCTATATTCACGCGAGTATCACATTAAGTCCAGTTTCATCAGTGGTTTATTTATTTTAGAATTGTTATGGAAAGCACCAGAACTTTTGAGTGTAACAATGAAGAAGACGAGCAAGCCTGGAGATGTGTATTCCTACGGAATAATACTGTCTGAAATCATTACTCGTACATTGCCATATGAAAACTACGGCTATCCAGCTAAAGGTAATTAACCCTAAAAGTAAATGATACTTGCATTTTACAACCTCACTTCTTTTGTTTTTTTAATGGACCACATGACTGCAATCGCAGAAACGAAGCAAAGGGCCACAGTAAAAATTTTGTGTGGAGAGTCGACGTTTTTGAGATCTCTGCTTTTTGTAACCTGATTCCTAGGCTAATTTATGGCTTTTTCTGGGCGAAATTATTTTATTTTTTCAAGCAAGGTTATAATATTAAGTTATCCGTTTCAGACGTTATTCACTTTGTGCAAAGGAGATGTCTGCCTCCTTTCCGTCCGCATGTGAGGCTGCAAAGTGGTTTGGATGGTAGAATACTTGATATGATGAGGAGATGTTGGCATGAGTTTCCTGCCGAACGGCCTACATTCACTGATCTGAGAAAGCCTTTGAAAGCTGTCATGAAAGATAGGTAGATATTGCTAGTTCATGCATTCACATACCAATTATTTAGCGAAAGACAAGGTTACTCTGGGGCTAACAAAAGTCAGTGATGGTCGATGAAAGTAATCAAACTAAATGGACCTTGAAAATCCATTTAGCTCGAAGCTCGCAAAGAAGAAGCTCGAAATTTAAGTTTGCATTAAAGCAGCATATCCATTGAACCATTATAATCCATTGCTTCTGGTTACACACAAGAGTTCCATCATAAATTTATCCTTCAGAGGCTGAAAAAGTTAAATCTATTTTCGTCCATTGTAACTATACCTGGCAAATTTGCCCGTTTTTGTAGGATAATTTCTAAAACACATGCAATTATAAATCCGTAACACTTTCTGTCAGAAGTTTGCTTGAAAGGGGTAGGGATAAAAAATTAATGCCCCTAGAGCCTGGGATATAATACACTTTCAAAAGAGGTTTTCCATAATTGAAAGCATCTACTGGTGATATGCCTATGATACCATTGTGAGAGTAGCGAGCACATGAAGGCAAAGAGGGCACCTCTGTTTGCTACAAAAGGCGCTAAATCATGCCTCCTGTGCACCCCTCCCCATTTCTAAGATCTTGATGCAATAGAATAACTATGTGTTTTTGCACTGAGAAACTGAAGCAAACCAAACGCACACTCCGCAGCCTCGAAGTATTAGGAAGTTAAAAACAGCTTGCCTAAATCTCCATTAATGGTCTTTATTCAAACGGAATTATTGTGTATCATTGCTCCATATTATGTTGATTCGCGCTTAAAAAACAACCAAGATTCTTACTTATATTGGCAAGCAGTGGCCAGTCCTCTCTTCTTTTCAGCTGTAAGTAAATTCATGATCTTTATTTTAGAAATGAAAGCCAAAATCTGGTCGATAACATGTTAGAAATGATGGAGAAATACACAAACCATTTGGAAAGAAGAGTCAATGAGAGAACAGAGCAATTGCGCTCTGAAAAGGAGAAAGTGGAATCACTTCTGTATACAATGTTACCAAAGTAAGTTGGTTTTCCTTCTTTATGCTATTTTCCTCAAATAAACTTTTCAAGTTTTTCTCTATGTTTTTTCTTTAAATTTGTCTGTTTCAGTAGCTTTTCTTTTGGTCGCCTAATTTAAGTCGTGAATTGCCCAAGTCTAGTAAACAACCAACTTAAGATTCTTAGTCTATCGTTGCTTTCAATGCTCTATCCCTTTCTTGCATATCGACACTATCTTTATCAATTTCATTTATCCTAACACCAAAGACTGCATTTTCCTCCAACCCCCCCCCCCCCCCATATTACACCTTACTGCGATTGCGACAAAGAGCACCGTACCAATGTCGAGAGAACAGGCTTTATACAGGCCTTCATTAAGTCGATGACTTAGTGTAAGGAAAGGGGGAAGTGTTGCAAAAAGATATTGTGTAGCTTGGAAGAGAAATTATTTATTGCTTAGAGATATTTTTTTAATGTAAAAGTTTATTGAGAGGATAAGTACTTGAAAGTTCTTTCTCAAACAAGTTTTGTAACACAGATGTTATCCTTGGTAGGTCTATCGCACATAGGCTGAAAATGGGCGAGCTGATTTCGCCTGAACAATTCTTCTGTGTTTCAATCATGCTGGCGGATATTGTCGACTTCTCATCAATAACAGCAAGCAGCACACCGATGCAGGTACTATGGCCGATCTTTTTGTTTAACATCTTTCAGATTTCGTATTTCAACCTTATATTGCTTTATTCATAGAAACGATAAAGTATTTTCCTTTCTTTCTTTATTTAAAGTTGGTACAACTTCTAGCTATGTATACCCAAGCTAATTAAAACCAACTGATTTTAATAACCAACGCTAAATATAGGGTAAATCAAATATAACCGATGTTGCATATATATTCCTTGCAAAGATTACAAGTACAATTGAAAGATGTATACTCTGAGATTTTTTTCTTCAATATTTGTAAAGTAGGGGAGTACTTTATCTCGTTTGGAACTGAATTCCATATTTGGCTACATCTGTATGTTTCATGATATCATGTATGGCATTTTCCTTTTCTAATGAATCTATGGACCAAAATGGTCCTTTCATTGGAGTACAATATCAACATTAAATCTAAGGAATAAATCTTAATTACAAATAAACGACGAAATTAATTTATTGTTAGCGCTAAGTAATTTCAAAACGAACAGGGTTGCGGGAAATTATATGAACTTATAGTTATTCTAAAAATTTTATGCCAATTTTTTATTTCTTTATTGGCAAATCAGTTCCTTCCACCAGTTTTTTGTGATGAAGCTTCTTCAGTGAGACCCTGGATAAATGAGATCTTTTGAATTAAGTAGTAAAATTGCATAATTTTGTTAATGATATTTTTCTCAATTTCTATATTAATTTTTAGGTTGTGGACGTTTTGAACGACTTAACAAAGATTTTTGACAGCACTATCGAGCGCTTTGACGCTTTCAAAGTTAGTAAGCTGTTTTTTATCTATTGACTTAGCTAGCATGGGCTCCGACAAAGGTTGAAAAGTGGGGGGGGGGGGCAAAGGAAATTTTAACACCCATAACAAAAGATTTTGAAAAAAACTCATTGTTTTGCAAAAATGTGGGGTGGGCCAAGGCCCCCCGCCCCCCCCCTTCGTTGGAGGCCCTGGCTAGGCTTCTATCGCTTTTGGAATTCTTCTTAATTTGAAACACATTCTTAAGTTGCCGTAGAAAGCCGGTAAATTTTCATAGATATACAATTGGATATTCAGTTTTGACAAGAAGAAGACTTAGCAAATTTCTAACGAGAACTGTGCCAACAGCTGTACATGATTTCATAAAACCTTTGTAATTACTGAAAATGGCCATAGTAAACATTTTCGTATCGGAAACAATATGATTCACTCAGTGAAAATGGTTCTCGTGAAGCAATAGCAACATACGGAAAATTTTCATTTGAATACATTTGCTCAAAAAATAATTCCCCCAAGGACACGTCAAGGCTACCTACCCTGAAAAAGCCCCCTTCAGATCCTATTACTCAATGCTATAACAAAAATCTGAAAAATATCACCTTATTCTGCTTTAAATCTTTTCTGGCTTGCTCAACCTTTTTAAATTTGTTTTTCTAAAATGCATTTCATCGTATTTATTCCGTACCTTGTAAATTCATGTTTGTTCTAAATTGCCATTGTGCACTGATTGTTCTAAAGATATTAAATGTACTACTCAAATTACTTTTAGACCTCCTTAGCATTGCGATTGTTACAAAGTTTTAACAATTTAAAAATCCTTGAGCTGCATGACATCAGGCTCAAGCATACTTAACTTGCTTCATTATCAATACCCACACAGTTTGAAAACTACAATGAAAAGTATTCAGTCGTCTCTGGATGCCCCAAAAAGAACGGTATTCGACACGTGAGGAATATTGCCATGCTTGCCTTGAAGATGATGGGCAAAATGACTGCATTCAGAATGAGGCATCGCCCGTACGAGATACTTCGTTTACGAATCTGTTGTCATTCTGGTGAGTCTTATTTCTTAATCATTATGTCTTGTGTCAAATTTCGCCCTAATGAATCCTCTTCGACCCTTCTGCAAACACTGTATGAGCTCCCAAAGATTACGAAGTACCTTCCTGTTATTATAATGGGGCATTAATACTTTTTATTTTTCAACAACGATTTTATTTATTCAATGGTAGCGTCATTAGGCGTGGTAAGGCGGGCTTGTCTGCCCAGAATCCGCAATGCCCTGAGTTCCTGAGATCCACACCAACTAAAGATGCATCATATTTATGAAAAGTCAATGTTTCTTGATCATGATTATGCCAGTTTATATTAAAGGGGTGCGAATTAGCATGAGAATTATATGGTAATGGATTTTTCAGGCCCTGTCGTTGGCGGACTGGTTGGTCTTAAAACACCAAAGTACTGTCTCTACGGAGATTCAATGTCGTATATCACTCATCTTGAAGCAACTGGACCCCCTTTGAGAATACAAGTGAGTCCAGATTTCAAAGAGAAATTGAACGACGTCGGAGGCTTTGAGACAATCATACGTGGCCCTGTTAGAGTTAAGGTAAATAAACCGTCTCTGAATTTTCATTGTGAATTACGTAACCATCGAGTTACATAATTATGATTTTAGAATCATCTATATAGGTCGATGGTAAGGAATTTTCTTGCCTTCGATTCATAAAAGCTCAGTTTTTGTAACTCTCATGCTCAAAAGCGTTAGTTGGTTTCTTATCTGTTTTTGTTGTTGGTGCTGCAGCTTTTTTTATAGTTGCTGTTGTTGCTGCTGTTGCTACTGTTGCTGTTGTTGTTGTTGAAACTATTATCGTCGTAATGATATGTCATGATATGTCACTGTCCAGCCAGGCCTTCAACCTCCCTTCCTCACTTTGCTTCTAGCAGTGGACATGTCCCCCCTCCCAATCTTTGATGTTGTTGGTTTTGGCATGGCCCTTCTCCCTGCTCTTCATTTCCTTTTACTTCACTCTTTTTATAACAAATTGATCATAAAAGATTATTGATGGAGAATTCTATGAGGAGGCTCTTGAGAGGGGGTCTTGATCCCAGCTCCTAGCCATTCTTAAAAAAATTCCATTCTCAGAAGGTACTGTTTAAACGGTGGCAAAATTTCAAACACGCAGCGCGATGGTCGTCCAAGTCTGGAATGCTTTCTCGAGTCCTTGTTACTTATATCGTTTCTCGAGAACGCTTTACGTCCTTTTAACAATGTTCTGCTCGTTTCTCAGGGACGTGGTCTAGTGGTGTCTCATTTTCTTGTCGGAAAGGAAGGAATGGACATCGAGTTACCAGAACCAGAACCTGATAAAGGCTTGGAACTCAAAGATTTAGGATCAAGAAAGACATCAACAGTTGACAGTAGAGCCTCCAAACCAACCATTAAAGAACTTGCAAACGAGTAATGAAAGCTGTGAAAATACTAGGTTCCCGACTGAAATTGTAAAAAGACGAAAGTAGCAAATCCTTTTTATCCTACAACCTCCTTCTTCAATAGCCCGGAGCAATAGCTACTGTCAAAGGTTACCGGCTTCGTTCTACCCCTATTTAGGTGCAAACCTACACAGGTTTTAGAACAAGACTCTCTTTAGAAATTGCTCTGTAAAGGATTCCTTAGGGCAGTACCATGGACACTTGTTACCAATTTCAGGGGCGGATCCAGAGCAAATTTGAAGGAGGGGCAATTGGAAGTGGGGGCAGTGAAAAATTTTCAAAAATTGGTGACGAGGAGTACACTGTATACAACAATTTCAGATCCATTATCGGAATAAGCAACACAACTTTGAAGTAATCCTTGAAGCAAATTAACCTATCGTCTCAAAAACGTCCAAAATAGGCGCACAATTTCCAAAAAAGGGGCGCCAGACCTGCTTCAACTCGTTGCTTCTAGTTGCCCACCCCGTTAAATCCGCCACTGGCCAATTTCTAACAATCTTTAGTATTGTTGCTATGAGGGTATCAAGTTTTATATTCATTAAGAGCCGTAAAAAGAGGGGTATGATTTGAGTTGATGAATATCTGACTTATAATTGCCAGCCGTTCAAAAGCATTCTTCAAGGTCCTATTCTTAAATTATTACCGACTATGCATGTTTGTAAATATTACAATTAACACGGTAAGTGCTATGTACAAATTTATTTTTTAATTCGAAGGAACAAAAAAGATCCGATTGTAAAGTAGTTTTGTTATGTAATAGCAAAAATTTTTAAATTTAATATGCACCAACGCAAAATCTATGAGAATCAGGCAAATTTATTGCTTTTGGTTCTTCTGCTGTAAGAAGTCAAAACTGATTTTTAATGAATTTAAGATAAAGCAAAATATTCTTCAAAATAGCTCGATTGGCTTGCGCATGAGTCACGGGGGAAAAGACTGAAAACCTCAAGCCGCATGGGATGTAATGAATAAAGAGTCCTTTCCTCCAGGGATTCGTCTCAAAGCACATGGAAGGATGGCAGGCCAAGATAAAGTCAAAATTGTCGTGCTGCCTTATAGAAAGTTGTTGAAAAACAAATAATGAACTATTGGCTTTATTTGCTCTCGGTCGTTGCCTATACCATGAAGCAACTTTTGCTAGAATTTCTCTTTTTTTTAAATGAGAAGATTGAAATGTGCTGATGTTCAAATGTCTTGTTCAAATGACACGTGCATCGAATCGATTCCGTGAAAGTGTGTCGAGAAACTGCCATGTTTTTCAATGGTAAGTTGTAAGTAAACTTGTTTCTGCCATAGATTTAGACTTGGTTTGAATTAGGATTAGGAAGAAGTATTAGGTTGTGTATTGACGAGATTAGTGTTCAGAACATTTTAGAATTTACTCCGAAAGCAGGGAGTTCCATCCTCCGCACAGAATTGATTATGTTTATATAAGGAAATTTCTTGAACATAGCACGAAACTTAGACATTGTCATGTTAAAAGGTTTCATGGGACTTATAGGAAGAAAGGACAGCTACAGAAACATGGCGCTTCTTGGCTTAAAGGGTTAAATATTTCTATTAGAGAAAAGTTATTTGATTTAAGCTGGATTTCCACAAATATGTGACGCCAGCTAAATTTGAATAACAGTTAGGCCTTTCTAGGTCAAAATGCTTTGCCTGTCCGGCAAGACCCTGCAGTTTCCAAAGCGCCTAAAGGAAGATGTTGCGAAAAGGCCTAGGTGGAACGCGCTTAATATTGTAGAAAATGATCTTAAACCAACTTATGAAACTTGAACTTGCCATTTGCGCTCATACTTTCCAACTTGTTTCGGGCTCCCTGTCCCTCTTTAAAACTGCTGGGTTGAGCGACGACCGGGCTCTACCAAATATAGCGAAACTGGTCGCCATTTTAGCACTTGGCCTAACCTGGATTTTTGCAGCCATTATACGTATAAAAGTACAAGGAAAAAGGGCGAGTACAGAGCACGCACTGAAGTAGCCTAGTACTGAAGTGGATTAAAAAACTGGATTGTAAAACGGGGCAGACGAGGATTTGAACCAGTAATTGCAGAAAATTGTGGGTAGAGGAAGATTCATCATTTTGGAGCTAAATTTGTATAGAAGGTTAAATGTTATTTTTAATGGGGATTTCATTCTGTTCATTCCAATCTCAATCAAATCAGGAAATCCCAAGTAATCAAGGACAAAATCTTTGATAATTTGCTTGTAATATTGCAACTAGCCAACCTACCACCACCCCCCCCCCCTTTAAACTTGCATTTTTAGTCGACTACACTTACTCTATTCGACATACCCTGTCGCATTGTGCGACATTGGTGTGACTTCCATTCAAACGTCGCATTTTACATGTGTTGAATACAATGCATAATTAAGTACATCATTAGAATAATCAGTTACAAGCTGATCTCGAGACTCAGCATGCGTACTGTGGCTTGCCTTAAGCACTCCAAAGTTGATTGTCCTTGCCAACTGAGTTTTTGAGAACTTTCACGATGGCCGATATTTGCATTTCATGGCCAAAGTGCACAAAATACACTTGTATTTCTTGTGACTTTGCAATCTGCCATTTCTGCTCAATATCCGACGAAAATGAAGACGCCGTGGGTTGGATCGTTTCGAAATGCGTCGCCTACTGAATGTTCTTTAAAATATATATTTTAAATGTTTATTCTAAATGTCTGTTTGAATCTCTTCACGGTACTCTTCTCACACCATCTTCAAACACCCTGTATGTATTTGCCCTTTAAAGTCTTCTGCAAGATGTATAACAAACCCGTGCTGTGTTCTTGCGCTGGGGAGCTAAAATGATCATGATACAAGTTTTTAATAAAATACGTCTTCTTACAATCGCAATATAGTGCTTGTTCTATCATTTTCCGTCTATCTTTTGATAATATGCAATAACATGGCCCTGTATACATTGCTTATTGCCGCTATTTTGCCACGGATTCCAATAAGATAAACACAAATTCAATCGGAACAAGATGTCCGTTTTCTGGGCAGAGCGAAACACTTATGAAAGATTTTAAGAAACAGTTATCTAGATGACAGACAACCGACCAGAAGTGTTTTAAACAATCTGAGGGAAGACGTAACGAAGCTAGAAATTAAGAAATATCCTGCATTTAGAAAACGATAAAATTAGTTCCCCTGATAATTTGTTCGGTACCGCAGCGCCTAAACCAAACAAGCTGGACGAAGTTGTGAGACAATTACCTATTAATTGGCTAAATTTTTTTCTTTCCTTCAACGTAACCATGGAATTTGTAATAACATGGTCTGTTGCAATAATTTGCAGGTTTCTACTTTAAAAGACCAAAAAACTAATCGACATCTTAGTTCAAAGTTCAAAAGTACCTGGTTTTCCCGCCTTTCCCCGATTCCCGCTTTTCCCAAATTCCTGCTTTTCCCAAATTCACGCTACAAGACCAACCTCCATAGCCTGTGCTCCAGACCCTTAACCTGTAGGAAGAGGTCTAACTCTTCCTTCAGGTTAAGGGTCTGGAGCACAGGCTAAACCTCCATGGCAGGAATTCTGGACACGCATTAAGAAACAGCATTTTCGTGTCACACAATTATTTATTGTTCGTTGTTTCCAAACAACCACAACTTACTTTAGCCAAGTCGATTTCTTTCACACTGAAAGAAGTATCAAACTAAATAAAGCACTTTTAGCGGTGTGCTCCTTGCCCTCTTGCAAAGGGTCCAGGCACAACTTAACCTAATTGACATTTTCATTAAGGTGCAAATTGACAAAATTAGACATCTCAAATGATAAATTAGGGATGATTCAAGTTAGGATGATTAATCAGGCCATTTTGAGATTTTCGCTGATTTTCGCTGATTTTCGCTGATTTTCGCTGATTTTCGCTGATTTTCGCTGATTTTCGCTGATTTTCGCTGATTTTCGCTCAACTTCGCTGAACTTCGGTGAACAAGAGAAGCGGTAAACTTTTCTCCGATACCAAACACATTTCCGTATATCAAACGCTGGAAGACTATCAACAGGGAGAAGGTTTTTGTAGTTCTTATAAATAGTTGTCACAGAAGGCAGGCTTTGAAAGTTTTGATTTGACCAATGTTATTCTTTTAACCATTATGGCCTAACAGGAGGGTCCAGTCAGTTTCATAGAGGGTCAAAGCTAAAACGTTAAAAAATTACCCTCAAATGGTAGTCTTTCTTGACAATAACCCTCAAATGGTAGCATAAGGACCGAAATTATGTCCTTGGTAGCATCCATTTCTTTGTGAGCGCCTCGTCCTTCTTTGACAAATTTCTTTGTCAATGACTGTTGTTAATTCGGTAAAGATATTGTTAAAGTTATGTTAATTACCAATAATAAATCGCAAGCTAAACTAAGCCGTTGTGTTATTATCGAAACTGGGCCACTTGGTAGCTATTTCGTAGCCATTTGGTCAGACCCTCACCGACTGGACCCTCTGTCAGGCCTAAATGGCAGTAACCCCCGAGCTTTAACCTTAGCCCAAGCAAAGACATATAAACATAAAGAGGTCGATTATTAAAGCAAACACAAATTGTGTGTTTGCACATATACATTTTATGAACACATATCATACAAAAAAAACGTTTTTCAAATTAAACCTACTCTGATGAACTTGAATACTAAATCTATTGAAATCTCTACTCTACACGATCACAAACATAACAATTAATATATCACATAGCATTTACTAACATTTTCTCGATCCACTCTCGATATAGCAAAACATTCGTAAATACTGTGTAGCTATTAGTTCTTTGAGATGAACAGTTTGGGTCTCCCCAACTCATGACACCAATTAACAACCAACGGCCACTGCTCGCTTCGATCATTAGCGGGCCGCCACTGTCCCCCTTACAGCCATTTTCAGGGCTTGCTCTGCCATATCCAACACATATATGATTTTCTTTTCTAACTCTGACATTTTCGAATAAATCTTTATTTGCTTCGGTGCATTTTGAGATCGGTACAACGGGCACAGACGCCTCCCGTAGCATTTGTGAAAAATGTCCGTTAAAACTTGTCTTTCCCCAACCTATAACAAAAATGGTTTTAAATCCAAGACTTGCATTGACTTATAAGTCATTCGCGGGCAAATTGCATAATAAATGCTGAATTATTAAATTCCAAAAGAAAGCACAAATGAAATGACTTGAGAAACATGCTGTCTTACCAATCATAACTGCGTTCGCTGTCTTTTCAATACTCTTTCTAGCAGAAAGACAGATCGGCCATACTGATTTGGTGAGATTTACATGCGTCTTTAGGTGTATTAAAGCAATGTCATTGCGTAGTGTTGAAAGTTCGAAGGCTGGGTGAATGTGAATGTCTGCTATTTTGAGAGTTTGTGTTGTTCGACTTGTATCTAGTTTTTTATGGCTCCCTGAAAGGAAATTAAAACCTTAGCTTGAGAACAGATAACATAATGTCTTAAAATGGAATACTAAGTACTGTGTTCCGTTACTATCAACGAGGAGAAGGGTTTAAATTGGCATACCTAAAAAGCTTTTGAAAGGAAAACAAATTCAGGCTACCGTAAAAATACCTCAAGAAATTGGTTTAACAGCCTCCGTTTTACAGCGGTTTAACAGACCCGCAAATGTTTAGACCCCGTTAACACTGTGCCGGATAAATTTTAGCCGCATAAAACTTGCTCGGATTGATTTGCGTTTACACTGTGCGGCACAAATTTTGCCGACTTTGCTCTCCCGTTTAAACTGTGCCGAATAACTGCAGCCACGTGACCTAAATCATGCACAGAACGCCCAAAATGAAGTCATCTCTGGGCAACAAAATAGCAACAAATTTCCCGCCAACGTTAAAATATTTCATTCTCTCTTCAGAATCGCCTGCTTCTCTTTTAGACCAAATCCAAAGATATTGTCAATACAAATTAGGCCTAGTTTGTTTTAATAATTCGTTCTTAGAAACAAAATGACGCTGAAATAGCGAAGAAAGTAGGGAAAGCCGACAAGGGTGCCTGACGAAAATACTGAACTTTTAACACGAGTATTTATCGACTACAAGTCAGCCAAGATGGCGAGAGGGAGACAGTGAAAACTAAATTGGATGAAATAGCCATTCGCTTTCGAGCAAGATATGATGTGGATAAAATTTATCCGGATAAAACCGTTTACACTGTACCACATAGCTATTCGAACTAATTAAATCCACTTTCCTAGGTGAACTAATTTTGTTCGGATAGCCGCTCTCAAATTCGTGCAGATAGCGTGGGTCTAGTGTAAACGCGACGCCTATTTGAACTAATTTTGATGCGGACAAAATTTATCGTCATAAAATTAGATGGTATCGACATTGCGTGGCTTTGATCAAGCCCATCTTCAAGTTTGGGCAATTCAAAGTCGTTTGTTTGTGTGTTAAAACATTCTTTGTTTGGAGCCAGGACGCGTAAATATTCCTTTTTTCGCAAGCGTTTGTAATAATTAAGACCCCGTTTAATTTTAAATGAAATGAAATGCTAAAACCTGTTATGTTGAACGAGATCGCTGGTACACTGTAAGCAAATTAAACTAAAACGACAAAATAAACAGGAATACTAGGGAAAAGGTCAAGCGTTAATATGTCTCGCAAGATGATGGAGTCAAGTTGAAAGAAGAAATTTTTATAACATAAATTTATTTTCATGTAGTATGGAGTAAGAGGGAAAACGTCAAGTTTGAATATTTTGTCGCAAGGCGATGAAGTCAAATGAAAAAGGAAATTTTTATAGCGTAAATTCATTTTCATGGAGTATGTTCTAATACCTATTCCAATAAAGATAGAAAAGCCATAAAACAGAATAGAATAGTAAGATCAAAGTTTTCTTATATAGATTTATGACATTGCGAAAAACTAGCCTTTACAGAAGTAGATATGGCAAGTTCATAATTGACAGCATAGGTTTTGGTCCAAACAAAATAACTATTCCAAATTCTGTTTGGGGCAGACATAAAAACATAAATAGGTGTTTGACAGAAACGAGGAACAATTCACTAATACTAATGATGTACATTTTTGAAATAAGCAAATTTATCATAAACAATAAACAGAAGTATTAAATCTAAAAAGGCTATAATTCAAAACATAAATCAACCAATCAGTTGATCACAAATAGTCACAGACAAAAAACCAAACAGTTATATATTTAACTTCACTACTAACATTGTACTGCAGCAACTTAATTCTACACTTTAATGCTATACTACACTACTTTACTATGCCACAGCCAAAAACATCCATAACTCCACTAAAGACGATGCACGTTTCTCATCATCAAAAGGATGGGGGGGAATAATCAGGAAAAAATTGCCAGAAGGCTGTACACAAAGCCCTTAGAAACAACTACAAAATACCTGAAAATATTGAAAATGTCACGAAATATATAAAGAAAATAACTTCAAAATAATAAACAATGACTATTAATTGCATAAAGCGGAACACTTTCTCTTGTCCAGTCATGATTGAAAAACAATTGCTTACATGGTCCTATCATTCGGAATCCTACAATCCTGGAAAAAACTCGACTGCTTCCCAAATGCAATGGATTTCTCATTCAACGTGACCCCCTCCCCTCTATATCAATGTTGGGGTGTTTGTATGGGCTAAAATCGAATGCTGGGACATTTAGCTCTCAAACGACACCAACATTGATATAGGGGGAGGGGAGAAATTGATATGTCCTAATTTTTCTTGGGAAAAAGTGATAGTATGCCAAAGTTTTAATTCAGTATAAGCTAAGGAGTTTCGGCCACAATTGTAGCTTTATCAGTTCTAAGCCAGCAGCAATTCACGAAATCACAGAGCGTTTTATTTTCATTAAGAAGATCGCATCCTTTGCTATAAAAGTCCAAAGCGTCTTAAAGTAATCATGGCCAAGCTGATTTGAGGTTTTATAAAATGCTTAGATGTCTGAATCATACGAATCAAATTTAGATAACTTATTCAGAACCTTGCATAACCTGGGTCAATTTCAGACATTTCTGGCCGTGGTAGGTTTATAGGTTCAGCTGATAGCCCGTTGTGTGACCCAACCGTCGTGTCTCTAAAAGAAGGTCGCCGATAAGAGGCGTGGAAATTCAGCACATAATGTATGGATCTTTGTAATGAGAAAATTGAAAAAAACGTGCTTGAAAAATACGGAGCTATTATTCTATTCAATAATAATAAAATATTCTAAAATATTTGCTCATGAAGATATAGCAGGCTCTTCAAACATTGCTACACCTTTTTGTGAGACAAAAAACCCTACATTTGAACAAATGTAGTCAGAACAGTCAATAGCTCTTAATTCGATTCCCCCAAATTTTACCCATATATTGTGGGGTCAGATCCTAAAGAAATATTGCTGACGATACCTATAAGATTGTTGTAGAGCAAATGATGAGATTATCAAAGCTAGAAGCTCTACTGCCGAAAAAGGTACATTTTTAGGTCAAATGAACGACCATAACACCACTCAATTAACCTCTGAGATACAACAAAAAGGTCTTCCAAAAGGCGATTAATCTCAAAATCTTACTCACCAAGTCTTATTTTTAAGTCAGCTTCGTAAAGCCTCTCTTCGTGGCGATAGAGACAATGTGCTGCTGTCATGACTACGTTCTTTGAGATTAGAACAGCACCGCAATAGTGCTTATTAGAATAAATGATTTCAGCCATCCATGGCCATGAGCCGTCCGGCGATATCACTCCATCAACAATGCGTCTGATGCGAGACAATGAACAACTTTCACCTGTAATAAAAACCAGCTATTGAGATCAAAATAAGAGCCATCAAACTACGAATAGTGCCAAAAAGGTATGTGAACTACGGTCCGCTTAGTCTCTGAGGATGGTACACATTACGGTTGTGCCATTATGTGCCAAAACGTCGTAAAAGTTTGTTTCTCCAAATACTAGATGCGGTCTGAATGTCTGCGATTCTTTTTCGTTATTAGAAAAAACAACTTTTATAAAACACAGTAAACTGACTCGTAACAACATAACAACGAGTTTACAATAGTGCATTAGATGGAATTACAAATTTCAATCTTAAAACAAATAAAGAATTTTCTTCCGGATGTCTTGGAATTAAGATAATACGCCTTCTATCTGATCCAGTTAGGCAGATCTGAGATGAGAGACGTATGCCGATGTTGGAAATGCGTAAGAACTGATTAAAGCAGAGAGAATGACACATTAAATTGCACTTCATGGTGTGAACATCTTGTAGTTTGTGTCGAATAACAGACAAATTCTTAGAAAGATTCGATATTTCCTAGCAAATTTAGGCCAAATTTATTTCCGTATTATGACGCTTAATACGACAAGCTCCATCTATTCACATATAAAGAGAAAGAGACGAACGCATGACGTCATCTAAACAAAGGCTTAAGAATAGCCTGCTGCTTGCCTCACAAACCTGATCGTATACAATAATTATACAACGGATTACTTTCCATCACCCCTGCCGTTCAGATTCAGGTAGAACATATAAAAAAGTATTGACGTTTTTGCTTTCACTGGAGCAATTAGAAATGACGTTGGTCATTACTCCCTTCTTGTGTTCTCGAAATCCAATATAGCTTGACACAAAGACCTCCATTCGCTAAAGCTTCGAGCATGTAGCCACATGGTACTATTCTAGGGCTCAGAAATCGACCTCTACCATTTTTTGGCTTATCAGAGAAGCAATGGGTTGACAAAGAGTAATGCACGCAAGACAAAGGTATCAAGGGGCAAGGATTTTCATCGAAAGCTGATAAATAACAAATAACTCCCATCCTTTAAAAATAATTGTAATTTCGTCAGTACTTTTAAACTGTTTCTCGTCTTTATATTGTAAATGTGCAGATCATTTATCACTGACTTTCTGTCTTTATCACTTTATGCTACGCTTTCTTGCCTTACTAAAATCGACAACAAAATTTAGAGCCCGAGTACATTCCTAAGCTCAGTTTTCTTAT